GTGTAGAACTGGTGATCAGGTTAGTGTAGAACTGGTGATCAGGTTAGTGTAGAACTGGTGATCAGGGTAGTGTAGAACTGGTGATCAGCTTAGTGTAGAACTGGTGACCAGGGTAGTGTAGAACTGGTGATCAGGTAAGTGTAGAACTGTGGTGCTCAGGGAAGTGTAGAACTGGTGATCAGGTTAGTGTAGAACTGGTGATCAGGTTATTGTAGAACTGGTGATCAGGTTAGTGTAGAACTGTGGTGGTCAGTAGTGTACTGTATAATTGTGAGAGTCAGTGTAGTGTATAATTGTTATAGTCAGTGTAGTGTATAATTGTGAGAGTCAGTGTAGTGTATAATTGTGAGAGTCAGTGTAGTGTATAATTGTGAGAGTCAGTGTAGTGTATAATTGTGATAGTGTAGTGTATAATTGTGATAGTCAGTGTAGTGTATAATTGTGATAATCAGTGTAGTGTATAATTGTGAGAGTCAGTGTAGTGTATAATTGTGACAGCCAGTGTAGTGTATAATTGTGATAATCAGTGTAGTGTATAATTGTGAGAGTCAGTGTAGTGTATAATTGTGAGAGTCAGTGTAGTGTATAATTGTGATAGTCAGTGTAGTGTATAATTGTGAGAGTCAGTGTAGTGTATAATTGTGATAGGAAGTGTAGTGTATAATTGTGATAGCCAGTGTAGTGTATAATTGTGAGAGTCAGTGTAGTGTATAATTGTGGTAGCCAGTGTAGTGTATAATTGTGATAGTCAGTGTAGTGTATAATTGTGAGAGTCAGTGTAGTGTATAATTGTGAGTGTCAGTGTAGTGTATAATTGTGAGAGTCAGTGTAGTGTATAATTGTGATAGTCAGTGTAGTGTATAATTGTGAGAGTCAGTGTAGTGTATAATTGTGAGTGTCAGTGTAGTGTATAATTGTGAGTGTCAGTGTAGTGTATAATTGTGATAGCCAGTGTAGTGTATAATTGTGATAGGAAGTGTAGTGTATAATTGTGATAGCCAGTGTAGTGTATAATTGTGATAGGAAGTGTAGTGTATAATTGTGATAGCCAGTGTAGTGTATAATTGTGATAGCCAGTATAGTGTATAATTGTGATAGGAAGTGTAGTGTATAATTGTGATAGGAAGTGTAGTGTATAATTGTGATAGCCAGTGTAGTGTATAATTGTGAGAGTCAGTGTGGTGTATAATTGTGATAGGAAGTGTAGTGTATAATTGTGATAGGAAGTGTAGTGTATAATTGTGATAATCAGTGTAGTGTATAATTGTGATAATCAGTGTAGTGTATAATTGTGAGAGTCAGTGTGGTGTATAATTGTGATAATCAGTGTAGTGTATAATTGTGAGAGTCAGTGTAGTGTATAATTGTGAGAGTCAGTGTAGTGTATAATTGTGAGAGTCAGTGTAGTGTATAATTGTGATAGTCAGTGTAGTGTATAATTGTGAGAGTCAGTGTAGTGTATAATTGTGAGTGTCAGTGTAGTGTATAATTGTGAGAGTCAGTGTAGTGTATAATTGTGAGAGTCAGTGTAGTGTATAATTGTGAGAGTCAGTGTAGTGTATAATTGTGAGAGTCAGTGTAGTATATAATTATGATAGTCAGTGTAGTGTATAATTGTGAGAGTCAGTGTAGTGTATAATTGTGAGAGTCAGTGTAGTGTTTAATTGTGAGTGTCAGTGTAGTGTATAATTGTGAGAGTCAGTGTAGTGTATAATTGTGAAAGTCAGTGTAGTGTATAATTGTGAGTGTCAGTGTAGTGTATAATTGTGAGAGTCAGTGTAGTGTATAATTGTGAGAGTCAGTGTAGTGTATAATTGTGAGAGTCAGTGTGGTGTATAATTGTGAGTGTCAGTGTAGTGTATAATTATGATAGTCAGTGTAGTGTATAATTGTGATAGTCAGTGTAGTGTATAATTGTGATAGTCAGTGTAGTGTATAATTGTGAGAGTCAGTGTAGTGTATAATTGTGATAGTCAGTGTAGTGTATAATTGTGATAGTCAGTGTAGTGTATAATTGTGAGAGTCAGTGTAGTGTATAATTGTGAGAGTCAGTGTAGTGTATAATTGTGAGTGTCAGTGTAGTGTATAATTGTGAGAGTCAGTGTAGTGAATAATTGTGAGAGTCAGTGTAGTGTATAATTGTGAGAGTCAGTGTGGTGTATAATTGTGAGTGTCAGTGTAGTGTATAATTATGATAGTCAGTGTAGTGTATAATTGTGATAGTCAGTGTAGTGTATAATTGTGAGAGTCAGTGTAGTGTATAATTATGAGTGTCAGTGTAGTGTATAATTGTGATAGTCAGTGTAGTGTATAATTGTGATAGTCAGTGTAGTGTATAATTGTGAGAGTCAGTGTAGTGTATAATTGTGAGAGTCAGTGTGGTGTATAATTGTGAGAGTCAGTGTAGTGTATAATTGAGATAGTCAGTGTAGTGTGTAATTGTGAGTCAGTGTAGTGTATAATTGTGACAGTCAGTGTAGTGTATAATTGAGATGGTCAGTGTAGTGTGTAATTATGACAGGAAGTGTAGTGTATCATTGTGATAGTCAGTGTAGTGTTTAATTGTGATAGTAAGTGTAGTATATAATTGTGATAGTCAGTGTAGTGTGTAATTGTGAGTCAGTGTAGTGTATAATTGTGAGAGTCAGTGTAGTGTATAATTGTGAGAGTCAGTGTAGTGTATAATTGTGATAATCAGTGTAGTGTATAATTGTGAGAGTCAGTGTAGTGTATAATTGTGAGAGTCAGTGTAGTGTATAATTGTGAGAGTCAGTGTGGTGTATAATTGTGAGAGTCAGTGTAGTGTATAATTGTGATAGGAAGTGTGGTGTATAATTGTGAGAGTCAGTGTAGTGTATAATTGAGATAGTCAGTGTAGTGTATAATTGTGATAGTCAGTGTAGTGTATAATTGTGAGAGTCAGTGTAGTGTATAATTATGAGTGTCAGTGTAGTGTATAATTGTGATAGTCAGTGTAGTGTATAATTGTGATAGTCAGTGTAGTGTATAATTGTGAGAGTCAGTGTAGTGTATAATTGTGAGAGTCAGTGTGGTGTATAATTGTGAGAGTCAGTGTAGTGTATAATTGAGATAGTCAGTGTAGTGTGTAATTGAGAGTCAGTGTAGTGTATAATTGTGAGAGTCAGTGTAGTGTATAATTGAGATGGTCAGTGTAGTGTGTAATTATGACAGGAAGTGCAGTGTATCATTGTGATAGTCAGTGTAGTGTTTAATTGTGATAGTAAGTGTAGTATATAATTGTGATAGTCAGTGTAGTGTGTAATTGTGAGTCAGTGTAGTGTATAATTGTGAGAGTCAGTGTAGTGTATAATTGTGAGAGTCAGTGTAGTGTATAATTGTGATAATCAGTGTAGTGTATAATTGTGAGAGTCAGTGTAGTGTATAATTGTGAGAGTCAGTGTAGTGTATAATTGTGAGAGTCAGTGTGGTGTATAATTGTGAGAGTCAGTGTAGTGTATAATTGTGATAGGAAGTGTGGTGTATAATTGTGAGAGTCAGTGTAGTGTATAATTGAGATAGTCAGTGTAGTGTATAGTTGTGAGAGTCAGTGTGGTGTATAATTGTGATAGTCAGTGTAGTGTATAATTGAGATAGTCAGTGTAGTGTATAATTGTGAGAGTCAGTGTAGTGTATAAGTGTGATAGTCAGTGTAGTGTATAATTGTGAGAGTCAGTGTAGTAGTATAATTGTGAGAGTCAGTGTGGTGTATAATTGTGAGAGTCAGTGTAGTGTATAATTGAGATAGTCAGTGTAGTGTATAATTGTGAGTGTCAGTGTAGTGTATAATTGTGAGAGTCATTGTAGTGTATAATTGTGAGAGTCAGTGTGGTGTATAATTGTGAGAGTCAGTGTAGTGTATAATTGTGAGAGTCAGTGTAGTGTATAATTGTGAGAGTCAGTGTAGTGTATAATTGTGATAGTCAGTGTAGTGTATAATTGTGAGTCAGTGTAGTGTATAATTGTGAGAGTCAGTGTGGTGTATAATTGTGATAGTAAGTGTAGTGTATAATTGTGAGAGTCAGTGTAGTGTATAATTGTGAGAGTCAGTGTAGTGTATAATTGTGATAGGAAGTGTAGTGTATAATTGTGATAATCAGTGTAGTGTATAATTGAGATAGTCAGTGTAGTGTATAATTGTGATAGGAAGTGTGGTGTATAATTGTGATAATCAGTGTAGTGTATAATTGAGATAGTCAGTGTAGTGTATAATTGTGATAGGAAGTGTGGTGTATAATTGTGATAATCAGTGTAGTGTATAATTGAGATAGTCAGTGTAGTGTATAATTGAGATAGTCAGTGTAGTGTATAATTGTGATAGTAAGTGTGGTGTATAATTGTGATAATCAGTGTAGTGTATAATTGAGATAGTCAGTGTAGTGTATAATTGTGATAGTAAGTGTAGTGTATATCTGTGATGATTCACCAACGTGAGATCAATACTTGGTAGATTTGTTCAGCTTTAACCTATCGAATGCTAGACCTCAGTTGACAGCTTTTCACATTTTATTTCTGTGACGCGATCCTTATTTCAATTCAGGTCGATTGTATTACTAATTTGCTTTATTTGAACTGGAATGTTATTCCTCGGTGCAAAAACTTCAAAACGAGGTTTTCACAAAATAGAATATCGTCTGAACTCTATGCTAAGCACTCCTCAATCACACTGTTTTTTTATTTTCTTTTTTAATTCGTCCTCTATTAACATCAAGTGGAGCCTTAACCTTACGTTGTCAGTGAAGGACACCAATATCACGAACTTGGCACCGAGCCAGTTTTGGCTCCAATGAAAATGATTTGTTTTTTTTTGCTGTAAGCTGGGTAGATGACTACATACCTATTGTATATATGTACATGTATACGCACACTCAAAGGTGCGTAATCAGAGCATAAAACGGATCAATGCAGGCTGGTATCGTGACTGTAGGGTGGTAGTTGACTGGTTAAGGAGGTCGGGGCTGGTACCGGTATTGACAACAGATATGGAGGCTGTAAAGATGTCGGTTCTGATGGGGATAGTTCTACTATGTACAATACTAACAGTTCAGGCGAATGACGGTAATTCTATTCTTTATATTAGTAAACACGTAATTCATTTATTTAGTGTACGTATCAGTTATGTTATCGATAAAATCAATACATTTTCAAAAGAAGTATCTATTTCTTTTTTTTTCAAAATTAAAATGTTTGTTTCAATAATTCCGTCTATTCAAGTCTCTTTAAATAGGAATGACCGTTAAGGAAGCAGGACACACTCTGATGCAATCGTAACGTATGGATTTCAATTGTACACAAATGATTAAATGGCTTATAACAGTAACGTCACTTGTCGTCCTCCATTTATAAATCATTGCAGACGTATCAAAATATTCCAAACGCATTACAAAAATATTACAAACGTATTACAGAACGGTTTTTTCATACATCTCGATAAAAAAGCAAGCGAAACGCTTCACAAATGTTTGATATCTTATTTCCACGTGTACCATAATATCTATAATATCGACATCACAATCACTCATTGCTGTTCAGTCTTTTTCTCTTCCACAAAACAACGAGCATAGAAACATTTTGTAAACGATAATTTTAGAATATTCATAGCTAGGAACACGAAATCGATACCTGTATATTACAGTGTGTGTGCCTAGGAGGACGAATATTGCTTTCAGTTAATCTACAACAACATGGTGTAAAATATTGGTAGTGTTCCTTAATCTATTAACTTTACTTATGCTTGGTGTTAAATATTGATAGAAGTATATTATTCTAAAGTCACAGAGTGATGTAATCTGAAGTAAGTTATGAAATTCAAAACCACTTCAGGGACGGTTCCATTGGTGATAAATCCTTTACAATAGTCGACGAGGTTCTACCTTCCACGTTCAACAATGAATTGAATAATTTGTAGTTTTGAATTCCGAAACACATATGATTTTGATCATTTAAGATATCTAAATAGTGTAATGATATTTTTAGAAAGATTTTAAAACCAGTAGCTTTTGACGAAGTGTGTGTTCTATTCTCCTGTTTTTATATATAGCATGTTTCAGCCAAGAAGTATTTCGCTCGACAGCACAGTGAGGAAAGTAATTTGTATAACATTCAATCGTTTGGATTCGATTTATTTAGACATATTATCATACAATATGTAATTATTTCAAATACTCAAACATATAAAAAAATTTAAACATCATGATGATTTTTTCAGTCAAGACGAAACAAATATCATTTTAATGAAATTTATCATATAAAGTCAGTGATATCTAGGATTGATTTCCAATGTGGCTATTAAAATCGGCAGTATTGAAATAGACGTAGCGGACTCGTCCACATGTAATTATGATATAATATTATTCAATCCACTTTCTTAAATGAGCTATTATTTACCGTTACGTCACAAATCTCCAGTTAACAAACTAGACAAGTCATTTTTTTACATCTATTTGTTTCCTTGTTGAGTAGTAGAGAAAAAATTATCGAATGTTGTGTTATCATTTCAATAATGAATAATACAAGTGAACATTCAAAATGTCGTATGTTTCCTTGGATAATGGTAGGACTATTTGGACACATTCATGTCTAATATTGATGATGATGTATCGTTTGCTTTTTAAAGATATCCGACTTAATTTACTGAGCACACAAATGCTTAGTTACGGTAACATTGTAGTCCTATCAACCACACGACCAATTACCATTTCACGTGACTGGCACTAAGCTTTAACGCCTCGTGCCGATTTTAAATGAGAGAGGTTAATGAACTGATGACCACCATAAAGTTGTTTAGTAAATAATAAGTTATCTATCAGCATTTCCTATTGTTTAATATTTGGTTTAATAGGTACAAGTCCCGAACCTGGATCACAGCCTCCTCCCGGCGACAGTGGCGAAAGTGGCGAGGAGGGTAGACCTCCACGACCTTCCGGTGACGGTATGTGCCTGAATTATCATTAAATACATATTAGGAAGATAATGAGAGAAAACATAAAACCGCAAAGATAATCAAGCACAAGGAATTATCCAGCAAACATCACGACTTAACACACCACGGAATAAATTATTGTATCGTATCCAGTATATCTTAAAGATTGTTTTCAATAAATAACTTTTGGAAAGCCATCAGAATTCAGTTCATCTTTAAAAATTTATATATTTTTTTCTTATTTTAGACAGAAATGGACAATAAACAAAGGAATTATTGCATATATCGCAGTTGTAACCTTTAGTTATTCTATAAACCTTCTCTTGTATCATGATTTTCTGTCATGTATGTCAACTCCAAACCAATATTACAGCGACTTGAACCCTACCACTTCACTACTAAATCACACTGTGTTTCTAATAGTATTTCCTTGATTTGAAGAGGTAGTTTCAAAATACAGACATGATAACATTTATGAATCAAAATTTAAAAAATAATAATTTTCAGACCATTTCGGCTACAAAGATGACGGTGATGATGACGACGACGATGATTGTGACGATAAAGATGAGAAAATGAAAGAAAAGGGAAGGATGGGAGATGATATGCACCATAAAGAAGACCATCGTGATAAAGAGGAACACAACGAGCACAGTAAAAGCAAGAGATGCAGCCGCAAGAAAATAGCAAAGATCTTGATCATCGTCGGCTGTGGTATCGCCATCATCGGTACAGGTGTCGGCCTAACTATCTGGTGAGTATGTCGTCACACACCGGTACAGGTGTCGGCTTAACTATCTGGTGAGTATGTCATCACACACCGGTACAGGTGTCGGTATAACTATCTGGTGAGTATGTCATCACACACCGGTACAGGTGTCGGCCTAACTATCTGGTGAGTATGTCATCACACACCGGTACAGGTGTCGGTATAACTATCTGGTGAGTGTGTCGTCACACACCGGTACAGGTGTCGGCTTAACTATCTGGTGAGTATGTCATCACACACCGGTACAGGTGTCGGTATAACTATCTGGTGAGTATGTCGTCACACACCGGTACAGGTGTCGGTATAACTATCTGGTGAGTGTGTCGTCACACACCGGTACAGGTGTCGGCCTAACTATCTGGTATGTCATTACACACCGGTACAGGTGTCGGCCTAACTATCTGGTGAGTATGTCATCACACACTGGTACATGTGTCGGCCTAACTATCTGGTGAGTGTGTCGTCACACACTGGTACAGGTGTCGGCCTAACTATCTGGTGAGTGTGTCGTCACACACCGGTACAGGTGTCGGCCTAACTATCTGGTGAGTATGTCGTCACACACCGGTACAGGTGTCGGCCTAACTATCTGGTGAGTATGTCGTCACACACCGGTACAGGTGTCGGCCTAACTATCTGGTGAGTGTGTCGTCACACACCGGTACAGGTGTCGGCCTAACTATCTGGTGAGTATGTCGTCACACACCGGTACAGGTGTCGGCCTAACTATCTGGTGAGTGTGTCGTCACACACCGGTACAGGTGTCGGCCTAACTATCTGGTGAGTGTGTCGTCACACACCGGTACAGGTGTCGGCCTAACTATCTGGTGAGTGTGTCGTCACACACCGGTACAGGTGTCGGCCTAACTATCTGGTGAGTGTGTCGTCACACACCGGTACAGGTGTCGGCCTAACTATCTGGTGAGTATGTCGTCACACACCGGTACAGGTGTCGGTATAACTATCTGGTGAGTATGTCGTCACACACCGGTACAGGTGTCGGCCTAACTATCTGGTGAGTGTGTCGTCACACACCGGTACAGGTGTCGGCCTAACTATCTGGTGAGTGTGTCGTCACACACCGGTACAGGTGTCGGCCTAACTATCTGGTGAGTGTGTCGTCACACACACCGGTACAGGTGTCGGCCAAACTATCTGGTGAGTGTGTCGTCACACACCGGTACAGGTGTCGGCCTAACTATCTGGTGAGTGTGTCGTCACACACCGGTACAGGTGTCGGCCTAACTATCTGGTGAGTGTGTCGTCACACACCGGTACAGGTGTCGGCCTAACTATCTGGTAGGTCATTACACACTGGTACAGGTGTCGGCCTAACTATCTGGTAGGTCATTACACACTGGTACAGGTGTCGGCCTAACTATCTGGTGAGTATGTCATCACACACCAGTACAGGTGTCGTCCTAACTATCTGGTGAGTATGTCATCACACACCGGTACAGGTGTCGGCCTAACTATCTGGTGAGTATGTCATCACACACCGGTACAGGTGTCGGCCTAACTATCTGGTGAGTATGTCATCACACACCGGTACAGGTGTCGGCCTAACTATCTGGTGAGTATGTCATCACACACTGGTACAGGTGTCGGCCTAATTATCTGGTGAGTATGTCATCACACACCGGTACAGGTGTCGGCCTAATTATCTGGTGAGTATGTCATCACACATCGGTACAGGTGTCGGCCTAATTATCTGGTGAGTATGTCATCACACATCGGTACAGCTGTCGGTTAACTATCTAATAAAATATCATCGCACATCTTGACTTCTATGATTCAAATACGAATATCTAAACAAATGAAATTGTGTAAATCCCATATTTTTAGAGTTTATTAACTCCTTTATACTCTCTTGTAGAGGCAAAAATATCGCCACAGTGTCCATGTATTATTATTTGCTGACAAATTACGTTATTTTGTTTTTAAAAGGGAAACAAAACCTCAAAAGGCTTTATTTGTAGCTATTATGATATCATTGAGTGCATCATCTTCGTGTTTTATTTCTACTAAAAGGAACTCCTGATAGATATGTTAAACTATATTTCATATTTTTTAAATTATTAATCTATATTGCCTTGATATTGGAGACATAATATCGTTTTCTCCCTAGCTACATGCGGCACCAACGCCAAAAGAGAAGACACGTGAGTGACTCAAAGACCAACCTGCACGCGCCAGGTGACCGCGAGAAGGTGTACATGGTCCCAAGCACACCTACCACGCCCCAGAACAAGCAATCTGTACTCGACTTCCCCGTGGTATCACACGCACCCCTCCCTGGGAAGGAGTAAAGCCCAGACTGGCAACTGTCATTAAGGGCGTCGGTATATGAATTGTGAAAGACAAATACATGTGTATATATGGCAATTATTAAGAATAAGAAAAGAGAGGCCTATTTTTCCATCATATTTTAGTGACAGATGTGACTAGATCCTTGGAGCAATTGTTTCATTGTTGTAACTTTGTATTCTTCTGATGGGTCACACAGCCGGGAGGATAACATTTCTGTCGTTATTTTAAAGAGTATATCTTATCAAGAATCACCATTTAGTCGTTTGCCTAGAATATATTTTTTTTCGTTTCCGTATCCATTTACAGATTTCTGTTTTACAGCAGCTTTGTTTTAGCTAGTTTTTACAGCAGCTTTGTTTTGGCAATATAGTGTATCATGTTCAAGCTTTCGGCTGTAGTATCACATATCCAACACACCACAATACCTTGTAGACGGCCTTGTATAGAAGAGTTTTTGTTTCCATCTAGTCAGTTTAGTGGTATTAGCTAAACTTTTGTAATGAGCAGATCATTTGAACGTATATAAAACAAAGTGTCTACATGTGTTTATAACACCATACCACACAAGGAACACATTATACAGGCTTCTTAAGTTCAGTGTACCTTAGGTATACAGATTTTTCACGTTTTATAAGTAAGGATTTATCCACTAATGTAAATGCATGGCAGATTTGTTAAATTGACAAATGTCTTGTTGGAAAGTTTGTTTTTCGTTTTTGTTTTGAAAATAAAATCTGTGGATGTGTTTGATATGTTATGTTTTGATTCTGTTTAAGTGAGTAAACAGTGTTAAACTTGCACAAACAAGAGGCTCATTGTGCCTGTATTGCGAACCTGGACATTTCAGCTTTCACTTTAAAACACATTTATTCACAATTATATAGTTCCATTTTTTTTTCAGACGAGGAGTAATTTTAAAGTTTCACACTAAAATTAGACGAAAGATCTTCATCCGAGCAGGAAAAATATGATTTTAAATTCTCACCTCAATTTCTGGTAATGGGCCCTGTCCCTTAGCAGACGATTGGTTAACACTCTAGGATATTTAAAACGAAATTTGGACAAAATACTTTCATCCCAAATGAGGCAGGAGGATTTCAAAGATAACATTTTTGTCTGCCCTATTGGGCCATTGTCCCTTTGCCTCCTGAAGGTTGAGACCCATTGCGTTACCTTCATCAAATATTGCTTCAGACTAGGAAGGAAAACGTTGAGGGCGATTGATGGCGGACACCGCGACATGGCATGGGCTCACAGGTCCTTCTACCAGGTGGGCTAAAAACACTAATACATATCACTTTTCGATACAAATTCAGAATTAGACACAACATAGCCAAACAAGCTGGAGCAGTGATTAAACTACAGCTGCATGAAGTAGATACCACGTCCTTCTAGGACCTTCAAGTTAGTGGGTTTTTTTATTACTACGAGTACAATGCTACTGGAGTCTAGACAAAGAACCCCAAGTTGAGTTATGGATATTGTACTGATAATTTATTGATGTGGGACGGGTGATTTATGTAATGTGTTATATTATGTTAGAATTCGCTATAACTGTGATCCCGGGTGTGGTACATTGTAAACGATGCCAGCGTTCGACAACATCAACAACACCCAATATCCACTATATTATCAACTCTTTCTGATGTAAAAGGAATTCTGTCGATAATCTGATATATTTTATAGTATCACAGGTACAAACGTGATTAAGTATGCATGCTAGCAGCTCGTCGCTAGTCAACAGTGCTATATACACTTTTGCCTTTGGTAGGCATCATTCTTTGCTATTATAACCAGGTGACAATCAGTTTTTGCTTTGTGTAAAAAATCTACATGTGTAAAAATAAGTCTGTGTACATCTTATCCGTTTCAATATGTAGTGCCAGCCACAGTACTGATATATCATCAATCGATAACATATCAGATGATATACCGTTCTCTGGGTATTTTCCTTTTCGTCGCGACACAAAACCATTCCTCTCAAAATGACTGAAATGCCTTTGGGCGAAGCGTATGGTGGAGAAACGAGACCCTTGATATATGCAAGTGTTGAAAAAGCCCAGTGATTCATATTTAACCATTACTGACCAGAATGTAATAAAAAAAAACAATCATATATCTTTTACCTTTCCGAAATTAGGTTGTTAGAAATAATTTATGGCTTTAAAACTGTAAAAGGAAAATAACTCAAAATGAACAATAAATCATACCAATAATTCAGGTAGATATCAGATACATATATCATATGTTTTTTGTCTGTAACTAATACAATTCACAATCAATTCTTTAAACTAATAAAGATCCCAATGAACACTGTTAATGTTAATATATCTGTCGTCTTTTTGTTTTCCTTGCACCTGTTTATACTTTCAGTTTATCAAGAAACATTTGTTTTTTGCACTAACAACAATTTTTGTTTTGACGAACTTTATTTTTATAGGACCATAAACAATCGTTGTTGGATCACAATGAATTCATGTTGGACTATAAACAATATTTGACGGACAATAACGAATTTTCGTTGAATAATAAACTGACTTTCCATTTCAGTATGGTTTATACTAGAACGATGTCAATGTTTCAGAGGAAACGGTAAAGCATGCATTCTGAAGTTAAACTTCCAGATTGATATGTTATCAAAGTCGACAACTACACATTTATATCCGTACTTTATCATAATTCACTGACACATGTACAGAGCTAATAAACAGATATTTTAGAAACAACCTTGTTCAGTTTTATCTCGATCTTCAAGATAAGAATCTTAAATGCCCATCTACTACAATAAATTACTGAAATTTCATACAGCACGTTATATCGCCCAAGTAATCACAGCTTCTTTACAGAAGTCGTCATGTTACCTACCGACGATATAGTGGTGTCATATTGACTCGAATTCCTTATAAGGGAATCAAGAATATTCAACAGGAGACTTATGTTATCTACTGGGTAATCATGGGAGCTATTACACATCGATGTTATCAACAAATGTTAGAATAGAAATGAAGTTAGTCATGGTTGTCTCAATAGTCGCGAGACGTTAAACACAGATGGCGATTCACTGTTAAAGGGAAATAACTTCAATACAACTAGTCTGTCAATTACAATTCATTTTTCTGCTCTTAGGTAAAACATGGGTCTGAAATGTTTTTATCATTAAATTGTGATAGTAGTTATCAGATAATGATATATATACCATGTTGTAAATCATCACACTCCGTGCTTACGATAAATGTTGTTGCCTTATGCAGATTATGACTAGATTTTTGATATGTTATTCATTACCGATGGTACAATCTTTCAAAGGAACAGACCTTGTGTCTATTTCTAAGCTAACAATAATAACATTATATGGTCACGCGCCGGATGTCAGTAATGGTTAATTTACCAGATCCATCGTTTCCAGTCAATATTATCGTCATTTATCAATTTTTATGACTCAGACAAGTGGTTAGTTAAACATGTGTAACCTCAGATATAACATCTCGGTTTGTATTGGTACGATGATGAACAAAATCGCGATCAGTTTGTAATAAAAAATATAGCTTTTTCGACTACAAGTTTATTTTAGAATGCAAACTAATCTGAAGTGTTCGGATGGTTTTCTCGTTTTTTTATATACCACTCTGTATAAGTTGCAGCGAAAACGATATGCTGATATGGAAATCGAGCAATTTTTTTATTTCAAAGAGTCATCTTACCAACCAGTAGAAGGAAAAGAACTCTTTCGCCAATATCAAAGCTAACAATTGCATGACATTGGCTCAGAATAACATCTTCAGTTTCAGAATTCAAAAGCCGTGCAACCCGACGTCCGACATTCAATATTTAGAATAAGGAAGTTATGCGTTAGTCATGTCACAACATGTCATAATCACAACTGCGCAGTTGGTAATACCATTCTTCTGATAACGACATAGTTCTAATTAACGTTATTTAAAAAGCCACGTCAAATACCAAGAAAACTGGGCGATTTCTATATCTATATACAAGGAAAACTTAAACAGACAGTTTAACAGACGAGGTCCTGATCCACTCGCCAACTCCTAACGTCGAAATGTCAGGTATGTACATGATGCGACATATTTTAACTTAATTCATATATCCTTACATACACCTACATGGTCAAGAATTCGACAACTGTGAAGTCGTCGTTTTGGCAAATCAATGAATACTCGTTTAGTTTATTAGCTCACCGGCTTCAAGGGACCAGTGAATGTCGTGCGATGTCCTACGTCTGTTAGTCATTTTTTTTAGAAACCAATCCAGAACGTCTGAATGGGTTTTTAGTATTTTGACCAAAGTTCAGAAGCAATCTTGAAGAAAATAAACCTTAGTAACGACCGGCGAGTCTAGGTATAGTGGGGCTTGAGAGTTAATGACAAATGGGGACATTTATATAAATGATTGGTCTGAACAACCCGCATTTCCCCTCCATGTAAAACTCTGGATGATGATGGGGGAGTGGTTTCACTATTCTATGTATTCTAAGAACAACTTGGTACATTTTAGTAGCAGGTTATCAAAAGAAACGGATATTTGGTTTCAGACGAGAAAGAGACTTACTACCACCACACAACTAAAAACGGAGCCATGCAAATATTGCAGTCTGGTTACATCAAGAAATCGACTGATATGGTAAATGATGCCACATATGGGCCTGGTGCCTACCTGACCAAGTATGGCCCAGAGAAGTCGCAGTCGGAAATAGCGGAGAATAACTACGATGGAATAAACAACACTTTCGCAAAGAAGATGATGGATGAGGGTAAGACGGATGCCATTATAGCTGTTGACCTTCCTAGCAATCAGGTTCACAGGGCGACGAAAACTCGCGACATCTATGTATCGAAAGGAAATGTCCAACTGAAGGGTAACAACCCAAAGGTTTATTTGCGCGATGCAAATGGAAAAGCCGTAGAATACAAACAAAAATAAAAAGTAACTTAAAACCTTATGGATCATCACACATGGAGAAATTTCTTACATTTTAGACTCTGAACTGCATGTGAAAAATATGTTTCGATAGGCTAATACGTTTCCATATTAAACTCCGACACTAAATACAATTTTTCCATCTGACTCTGTATCACACAGCAATTAGTCTTGTGTTGTTGACCAATATTGATACACTCTTACGTGTATAGGAGTGAGACATCACAATGAAATTGTATGATATTGCATTATAATGAATATGCACTGGCACCAAATCCGCTTTGATTGTCAAATATATCTTGAAAAGTAACGTCAAACAATGGAAAGGGGAAAATCACTCTTTCCTATTTTCCATTGTTCGACGGGCAAACATTTGAAGTAACAAATAATTTGAGTTGGTTATACAAAAAATAACAATAATGATATTATTTTAACATTGTACCTATCATTATCTTATGAAATGACAGCTTATCGTACATATGTATCATGACAAAAATTTATTTTGTTGAATTCCTTCATTTTTTTCCATAGATCAGAAATATTCTTACATTTGTTATCTTCAGCGTTTTGTTTACCTGTGTACAAAAAATTGTTTGTAAGAGATTAATAAACAAAAACTGCCGGGTGTTATAGCTTCGTGGTTGTTTTGAGAAATAAAGTACCAGAGTCCAGTCTCGGCTTGCAGTATAATTTTAATGTAGACACAGTGAACACATACGGAGGTACGTATGAGGAGTGACATATGTACTTGCATGTCCTTCTTTTATACTGCATGTGGAGTATAACAGAGGTCAGACGAGTAGACAATGTTTACCAAGGTATTAGGTCGTAACAAACAAGCGCTACACAAGTGAGAAAACATATTGGTATAGAGCTGAGTACTGCTACAGTGAATACATAGTTCTTATGGTTTTACAGTGCACTAATAGATAGTTAATTAATTACATGTAACAATAGCTGTAAATCAACAAAGATTACTGGCCATGTGTATATTAATATCTGATAATTGACCTACCATATCCTAGGAACAGTACATGTGTATGTTCCAACAACATGTTTGTTAAGATTACTTTATAAAAAAATAGGAACACGAGAAAATCACTTAATTAAGCACTAATTAAATGAGTGATTACGTGAAATATGCATATTCGAAATGGTGGAAAAGAATTACAGTGCATTAAATAATGTTTGTTGTTTTCAACAGCTTCTTGATACAAGAACAACGATGACTGTGAATAAGATTTCTACAGATGAAATTAAAGGTTTACTAAACTCTATTCTTAATCTGGTATGATGACGTTGACCAAGTCTAGAACCACTATGATAGAAATTTTGAATTATTGAACACCTTCAAGAAATTTCATTTTACAACGACAGTCATAAAAAATTATACAATTCCAGGAAAATGAGATAACGTTTACAGAAAATGTGATGAACTATTTATAGAATACACATACCTTTTTATCCCTCTTACCTGAAGACCATTGCATAACTGTCACACGTAAAGACTTAATCACCGATAAAAATAACTGACACGTCAATTTAGACTTCTGTGCCGATAGGATACTGATGTCTCCTGTATGATAAAATATTTTACACAAATTCAAGTTGCCTTAATTTGATACGTAGATACCTTGCAGTCAAACATAATAGTGTCAAATGTGTATGTCTAAAGATTTGCTTTTACCTCACAGCATAATGCTTTATTCTGCGGTTATATGTATGGGTGGTGTTTTTGTCTCCTCGTCTCTAAACAATACTGCGCCATATCGTGAAATCTTCGCCCTCGTTCATGAAATGTTGGATTGTTGAAACCGCACGAGTTCAGTTTGTCCTGAAACAATTCTTGTCTTCACTTAATTATTAAACGGATTTTTCTCAAATTTCGTTGGTTCCGAGTGGGTGTCCAGTTAGAATTTCGTGACTGATAAGATTCTACAAAGACACAACATTTAATACAAATTTAGACAGTAAGGTACAATAATTAATTAAATTTTGTAATTTCCATATATTTGATAATTTTTTTAAGAAAGCCTAGTACATGTGTATATTCTGAACGATTCCACAATTAGAATGAAGTTAAATGGGATTTACAGGATATGAGAAACCCTGTGGACCACTAGTCAACCAGCAGCACTGATTACCACTTGTAAATAGTATGTAAACTTTGTACATTGTACATAACAGTGAACGTTACAGAGCTGATAGAATTTTTCTGAAAATGAAGCTACACAGTTTCACGAAAAGACGGTTAACGTTTTCAGAAAATACAAGCGCTATTTATAGCATATACATACCTATTTATCATTCTTATCGGAAGACCATGACAAAACTCGTCACATGTAAACTGTTGATCACTGATAAAAAATCTGACACTTTAATTTATACAGTAGTTTCAATATGAGATTGATGTCCTGTACGATATAATCAACCCCCAAAAAAGAAGCATGTTTGAATAACCAGAGGGATCTGGGCGCCCACCATTTGAGGATCTGTTTTCAGTTCTTGAAGATTTGTTTATTTTTTTTTTGTTTGTTACAGGTGATGTAAATGTTCATGAACTGGTCTTCATTGAATGTACTCAATGATGGCACAAGATATTTTTATTAAGCACCTATTGGCAAATATCATTTGAAAAAGATCCCAAAGTATTATTAGATAGCAGTCAGTTACAGGTTGATAATGGACAATATGCTTGTGCTGTATTATTGTCGACATCCAAGATGGCTGCCTGTGGGCCACCTTGATTTCAAATCAGTCCAAAAAAGGTACAATGCATTAGATGGTGGGCTAACAAGTTCAAAATATCAGAAGTAATTTTACCAGTGTTCCCATAATGTGTTCATGAAAATTTGTTTTTTACTGACTAACAAATACTTGATAATCTCCACAATGTAAAAAGCAAAACCTTAATCCGTGCTGATCATTTCCATGTTTTGGTGTTCCGAAAAATTGTGGCCAGGAACTACCTACGTCAAATTCATTGGTGACAGACATCTTTAACACAATGCACAGGATAATATTCTGGTTATACTAAAGAGTTCACAAGACAAGAGATTCCAGTGGGGTTCATGGCACCCACCGTTGTTTGGTCTTTTCTCTCCCTTCCTGTTTTTGCTCTTCAATACATGAAATTCAGAAGTTCCTTTAAGAAATGATAATAACATTTAACTGACAAATCCAAGATGGTCACCTGTCAGCCATTTTCGTTATTCTAATTAGTCGCAAAATAAAAAGGGAACAACTAGGGACCAAGGAAACCTACATAGGAAATTGAGAGATCCATCCAATCCCAAGTTGGCCATTTTGTTTTTCTAATCCATGCCAAAATTAAACAGGCATAGCTAGGAGCCGTGGGGAACGTTTATATAAAGATACATACATCAGTTCTCAAAAAATAGTGATAACATAAACTGTTAGTAGCCTGACAAATGACAGCAAATATTGGGCGATTTGAAAAGCCAATCATCAGACCATAGTGGGCTAAAAATGCCATGTAGTTTCTAAAGTTAAAATCCAACAGTGCCACTGGATGATGCATGCACAACAGGGAGTAATATTGAACATGTAAGCATGTGATCCATTTAGAAGTCATTGGATACAGGAATAACTTAAAGCAAGACCACAGCCCAGGTGGATTTGGCTACAAAAGCTGCAGTTGAGGGGAAAAAAATCACAATCCTTGTTCAAGTTGCCCCATATCTTATTGAAATGTGGCTTCAGTTCAATAGTTCGATCTATAACATAACATCAACACAAAGCCTATAGCTTGTCCAACAATTTATTGGTTTACAATACATGTATACACTGCCATGAAGTTGAGAAAACAAAAATAAGTCATTGCAATTGTTATATCCAACAATTTACATGCACAAATCAGATATACACAATGATGGATATCATCACACATTTGGCTTAAGGTAACTGTCCAACACACAGGAATTAGACAGCCATAATGCCTGTACTATCATACCCAAAGATCTCAGGTATTAACATATAAATGACAAAATAAGGAAAATATCTTTTCTATATTACTTTAGAGAAATTTGTTTTTTCCTTCATGAAACATCTAAAAGGCAGAATCTCATGTTATTTATAGCAATGTGTATGACCTTGACCCATCCAAAACACGAACTTATCTGAGATACTATTAGTCAACCTTTGATCAAGTTTAATTACACAACAAATCCCTAAGACATGCAGTACATATCAATACCAGAACTCATTCACCATGGCTACAATATCTTTGAACTACTCCTTGTACACTACGTAAAATTCTTACGGCTTCTCCATGTTGACCACCGAAAGCATAGAATCTGTATTTTGAAAGAAAAAATCTCTATTCACATTACAGAAAATGATGGTCAATACTGGATTATCTTAAAATAATTCAGGCTATGACAATGTTCAGTATTACGATATATTATCAAATTACTGACCATGAAAGTAAATCATTTTAAGCAGCACACTTTACATTGTCTTTTATGAAAACACTGGAGTCTTTCAGACTAACAGCCTGCCACTACAAAGCTGTATCAACTAAAATCAATATATATGACTGTACATATAGGGCCTTGTTTACGACATTGACAGGACTACCGAGTCATACACGTGGCAGTAAGGATAGTAATACTGATTTCTATTTATAAAACTACACTACTACTATATCATCATACTAATCAACATATTAACTGTATCTGATCTATTCCCCAGCTGTGCAGGTGGTGGCAGTTAGACATTATCATCAATTACAACTTATAGGATAGTGCACTTCACTTGCAAACTTTATCAGACATTTAAACTTTCTAATATCAACTAACAATGCAAAACCATAATTAACATGTACAAATTACAAAGACAAATATTGTATTTTCATTCAAGTGTACTTGCATCATCTTAAAGGAACACTGTAAACTTTCAGCATGACAGGTTATTATTTCTGATGTACAAGACTCAGTACCAGTATGATGGTAAAGAAGTAATACTAATCTACACTCTACTTTCTAGTAGATTACACCCTTACCTAAAATCAATAATTAATTAACAATGATCACACAATGATCCAATTTAACAAGCTTTGGTCCCTGTAGTTAAATACAACGGATATGACAGACCAGGTTCAATCCACTACTGAAATTCACGAGTGTACTCTCGGGCCTTGCCATTCTGGTCTCTGATGTAGATGCGAGGATTTTTGTTGTGCAATGAAAGGTCACCTGGGTACAAATGGATGTCACGGCGGTCCGGTAATCTCTCAACCTTTTGTGCCTCGTGTGCTGGCATTTCTATGGCGATGGTCGCATCAGTTCGCCCAGCACCCTCCATGGTTTCCCAGTATCTTCCTGCGAGACCATCCCAATTATTGCGAGCTATTTCCCCAGCTGAACGTTTCGGTCCCAGGCGAGTTAGATAGGTACCATCTCCATATACTGCATCACCACCACCTCCACGAGACTGACGAATTACACCAGTCTGTAGTATAGCCTCTGCACTCTCTACATCAGTGTGGTGGAAATAAGTGGTAGGACCTACAATAAGAAGCAAGTTGAAATTTCGATAAAATGCTTTTGAAGATATCAATCACAAAGAATATCACCATACAAGGATTTACAATCAGCAAGACAAGTGAGTCCTATGATAGTGTACAGTGACACCTCACCTGACAAGTGAGTCCTATGATAGTGTACAGTGACACCTCACCTGACAAGTGAGTTCTATAATCGTGTACAGTGACACCTAACCTGACAAGTGAGTCCTATGATAGTGTACAGTGACACCTCACCTGACAAGTGAGTCCTATGATAGTGTACAGTGACACCTCACCTGACAAGTGAGTCCTATGATAGTGTACAGTGACACCTCACCTGACAAGTGAGTCCTATGATAGTGTACAGTGACACCTCACCTGACAAGTGAGTCCTATGATAGTGTACAGTGAAACCTCACCTGACAAGTGAGTCCTATGATAGTGTACAGTGACACCTCACCTGACAAGTGAGTTCTATGATCGTGTACAGTGACACCTAACCTGACAAGTGAGTCCTATGATAGTGTACAGTGACACCTCACCTGACAAGTGAGTCCTATGATAGTGTACAGTGACACCTCACCTGACAAGTGAGTCCTAAGATAGAGTACAGTGAAACCTCACCTAACGACCATCCCACAATTACACTATTTTCCACCACCCTGCTATTAGGTATTACACCCATGTTTGGCAGTTCCAAGACCACTACATACATGTAAGGGTTATTGACACCATGATTGTGACCAGTCACCAGTGTCAACAACGAGAAACCTTCAGCAATTTAAAAATTACATTAGTGAAAGTGAAATATTCTCCAGATACACCAATATTTCACATCTTCATTGACTGGAATCACCAATTACAGTCTTGGCAAACCCTTCCAGCCCAGGCACTGGGGCACCTGTTGAATTATATTCACAATTGTGGTATGAACCATCTGTTAGTAGACATATGGCCATGACCTTTATCGGTCTAATTGTAACCCCATAGTCAATAACTTCTTAGCATTTGTTTCTATCAGAATCTATCAACAACAAACACTGGTTACAGCTGTCATTCATTCACTATCATGAGGAAGAAGCCTCCCTACTGTAAACATCATAGCTTGACACCATACTATATACTATAGTTGAATATTCTGAAAAAGATTTTATAAGTACCATTTTGTATATGAATGTAAAACGACTATGTAGGAAATGGTATTTGGCGATGAATTGTCAGACAATCCTTAGTACACACGCAAACCTGTAAGAAATCACGCCGAAGTCCGTCGAGACCTTCTTTGACCAGGGACTTCATCGACTCCTAAATTTCGTCAGGGTTGAGACAGATATCCCAGAGATGTGAACCAGAAGAACGTCAGCTTTTGCACAGGTGTCCGTGTTGTCCTTTGCCATAAAAAAAAACACTGTCGGTTTTTCCTTTGTCTGCATCTTGTATTAATAAATAAAATAGTCCAATGGACTTCTGTAGGTCTATACCCGTCATATACGTCCCTGACAAAACGCGGGAACAACAGTCAAACTATTTTACAACAATTTAGCAAGTGCAACATGCAAAATATGATCCTACCTTTGGATTTGTCATCCTGGCCAGTATTGTGTCCGTGATAACGATGATTATAGGCCATCTTTATCACCTATTTTCCTTGCTTTGCTTGATGTACTCACGAAATATCGAGTTTGTCTGTCTGATGGTCCTGGCAAAGACTGATGCGTCGTTAGCTGACCACGTGACCACAGAGTGAGTTAGGTTCACAGTGGGGTAATTTCTATACAGTATCGCATGAGCAAGGTACATATAGGGAAATTTTAAGATAAGAAAAAATCACAAAGCCTATGTTTGTGCTTCGTAACAAATTATACATAAGATATTAAACCAAACTGATATCGGGTTTTATTTTTCGGGGGATGTGCGTATTTTCTATGTTTTTCACATTCAAAATAATCATAATTTTGTTAATTTTGATAATAAACTTGGACATTCATTGCTAAAAAATCTACTGTACATTAATACAATTTTCTATCAACGGTCACTAAAGTGAGAGGACAGCCATTTGTATAATATCTGATGATGGCTCACGTACATCATGTCAGGATTACCAGATATTGATAAATAAAAAGATATTATATATTTCGATCACATCCTTGCCGATACTATAGAGGTTACAATCATTTTCACCTTTTTGTAGGGCGAAAGTGATTGTGACCCCTGGAGTATCGAGAATGATCTAAATCCGTGGCTGTTAAATGCTTAAACAATCATAGTTCTGTTATATGACAGTCTAAGAAATTCCGGTTTCACTTTCGTTCACCATATCCAAAAATAGCAATTCGTGTTTGATACTCCAGAGATATTTTTAAACCTTACTTAATGTTACTAGTGATGATCTTATAGACGGAGATTATTCCAAGAGGGCAGCTCTCCAATCTGATTAAAATACATACCTTAATTTACTGCTCCAATACGTTCCGTTCCTTAATGAAGAGAAGTATTGGGGTGGTATATTAAGATCTGTATTATAATCAGATTGATAACCTCCAATTTAAATTCTGAAAGTTGACACATGCGTCTAATTTTACTTCTCGATACACTAATGAGACAACTGAAGAGTTAGAAGATTCTAAGATGTCGAAAAAAAAAAAAAAAAAAATCCAATGGGTTCATTAGGTTGAAAAACCCCGAAAATCCTTTGCTACTTTAAATAGATATTTGACGTCATCGCTTTACAATCCAATATTAACCCGCCTGGTAAATAGCCGATAGACTGTCAGAAACATGTATGTTTGCTGTGTTTGTCGTCAAGTGAACTGCCAGGATCATTTTAAGTATAATATTTACTTTTGTCTCAACTCTTAACCATACAAAATGATCATAAAACTACGTAATTTCATAAGCAATGTACACCGTAAAAAAAAAAAAAAAAATCACGCGTTCATCAAACATTTAAATGGGCCATTAAATAATAAATCATTAGATTCAGATCTAGGTTGAATTATTTGCAATTATCACATACACCTTAATCATTTACACGTTCAATATCATCATTTACACATTATCACATTCAGTTTCACCATTTACACGTTCAGTTTATCGTTCACATAGTGTCGTATACAATTTAATCACTTATACATTCAGTTTAATCATTTCCACACATTCAGTTTCATTACACGAACTTAAATTAAAACGTGCACTTTTATAAATTATATTACTAGCCAAACCAATTCTCGGTCCCACATATCAAGCTTATCGCTACACGAGATAGGGTGAAACGAAGGGCAGTTACCCTGGGAGATCAGAATGGCCAAACCTGGCTCCCATACAACTTGGAGAAGGAAGTATGGTAGCCCAACGACTGCAATAGGCTAAGGAATCCAGGCGCTCCTTACGCTGATTTGGCTACCGTCTCATTGATTTCATTAAAGTTAAGGTGTTCAAATTACATGTACTTATCAATTACTTATAATTCGACGCTTGTACACTTAAAGGCCCTATTGGTCCTTCTCTTCGAAGGTACTCGGAATTGAGTGATGTTTGAATTGTCTGTGTTGATATTCCGAAGGTTATCCACACACGATGCTGATACCATGTACAACAAGATTCTCAGGATTGTACGCCAAGAGTAACGGATCGCCTGCAATGAGTAGATGATTGATAATTTCACTGTTTATGTCTTCGCCGACACATAGGTATTGCAGTGTACACTGAAATGTCATTTATGAGGAAAATTAAAAATAAAAGATGAAGACAAGCACCCTTATTTCAGGCCGCACCTGATCTCGAACCAATTAATAGACACCTCTCTTGATAGATTGCTGACTGCCTCATACATGTTTCCGTTGATTCCAGCACTTTCCGACTTACTTCAAAGAATATCTTGATGAACGCCTGATAACGGGCGGGGTGTGAACCCCATTGTTGAAGCACGTGGCAAAATATCGCCAGTATGATTGATCAGGACAGATAGATGCTCTCATTTGTATGTCTCGCGCTCTCGAACATATAGGTAAGTAAACAAGATAAGAAGCTATGTACAAGGTAGATCAAAAGGGTGTGGAATTGATAACAGGTACTCCTAGACGCACGTGCCCTTTTAATTATATGCACAATGGGCGTGATGGTAGGAAAGTTGTAAAACATAAGTATAGGGGATATTGGGGATTGCGAGAGAGTCCGAGGGAGAGTTGAAGCCGGGACACTGAGCAGAGATGAGAGCGGGGCAATGTATGGGCCCAAGTTAGAGAGCGGGAGAAACATCTAGGATGGTTATGTACTATGACTTTTAATGAACAACCAGTCTAGTTTTATCAAATGCATTTGTGTGGTCACTATACGCTACTATGTTACACAGCAGATTAGCAAGGGGTTCAATGCGTTAGGTATGATAAGCAAATATGGCCGCCAACGATGGGTATAGAAACCTGTATATCGAATATCGCGTTTCGGTGACAAAATATTTGATGGTTCAATCCGTGGCAGACATACTGACATTTCTGGTTTAGAAGTGATTGAGCAGATTAAACGATATTCTGAGACAGAAAACAACACCCAACATCTGCCCCGTGAAGGTTTTGGCTGGACATGCACCTTCAGTCAATTCGAATATTATCTGCTTAGAATCAACATCTAACGACATCATTTCGGCCATTCTCTTTCCGAAAGGATTGCTGATTATTTTCACATGAAGACTCAAAATTTTGTAAGCATTGTACCCACCATTTTCATTTAGCCTGCTATACCTCATGATCAAAAACTCTGCTAGTCTCAACGCAATTTGATTTAAGCCTTACCCTTGCAGAGCATGGTTTCCCTGCCATTCACTCGCCACCTTACTCACACCATGTCATTGTTCTGTGGACACTCTATTATGGTTTGAAAGCTTGTCTATGCTATGCCTCCTTCCTGATAGGAATCCGTTCACATGAATGATTTGACACTCTACACAGTGGCATAGCCAGCATCTACATATGGAGGAAACGATAGTCTACAACTGACTGGCCATTAGAAGAATTACAAGTAAAATCAATGTTTACTAGCTTCTCCCATTTAACATACAACAATTGACATTAATTAAGACGTGTTTGATAGCACCATCATAGCAGTTTGACTGGAAATCAAAGACATGCCTCTCTAGTAGATTATCTAGTACTCCAAAGATAAGATCCTCTATATACCATTAAAATCACCACACACAAACAATTTACCTTCAACTCGATATTCTTTTATCTGCCCAACATTGAAAGAACTAAATTAGTTTTAGCGGTAAGTAACACACGCACATACACACCCTCACACACAGGTAAAGGTCTGCTGACTCGCAAGTGTCTCATTGAAGTAGCTGGTGACTACCTCACTGAACAACATACAGGAGGCTCTGCACATGGTATCCAGAGCAATAAGGGTAATATGTCTTGCCCACTTTTGGTCAAAACTCCCCTATTTCAATTTTGAAATTTCCGTCTATTTCCCTATTGGACTCCATCCCTTTGCTCCAAGTGGTGTTCACATTTTTGGTTTAATCAAAATTCAATCCAATCACCCAATGATTCCCTGATACCTACAAGCAAAGAATTCTGAAAAAATTCCCTCCATTCCTCTATTGGGTCCCACCACTATGTCCCCAAGGGGATAGGACCCACTGTTTACACTATATTGAGTCTAAAACAAAATCCTGTTAAGCTTATAGAAGAGAAAAGATTTTTAGAAATTTGCTAAATGTTCCTGCCCCTTGAACCATGTGTAGCTTCGAATCAAAGTACATGTACTGTCATTCCTAATAAAGAAGGATTCAATAAGAAAAACATTTCCCTTACTGGGCCCTTGGGGACCCTGACCAATCATTAACACCAATTCCTTTTCACCAAAGAATGCTTCAGATCAAATAAGGTGAAATACTTTTATCCCATCAGAAGCACTTTTACGCTATTTCTTTATTCCAGTTATTGTGCCCCGCCCATCTGCTCCTAGTGGGGACAGACTGACTATTTATACCATGTAATTCACCTTTACAAAAGGATATGCTTCATAAAAGATTCAATCAAATCCTGTCCATCTATTAATTTGCTATCCTTCTGATATGGTCCAGCCATTCAGGAACCAGGGCCTGGACCCTCTAGTTATATAAAATTGGTTCTTGTTCCTCAAAGATCACATTTGGTCAAAACACTATCTTTCCAACTGAAGGATTTTATAGCAATCCCATTAGCCCTTCAGGCCAGGTGAGCTAAAATAATGACATGGATGAACCTCATAGACTTATTAATTTTTATTTCAAATAAATTTGTTCAATTTTAAGGTACATGAGTCTACTACTATATGACATATTTGTTTGCAATTGTTTCTAGTTTGTAACTGAAATTTAGCTCTAACAAATGTATTCTCACAACAGATTACATCAATCAACAGTTCTGAACAACAGCACTTCATCATAAACCTATTGATATCAACCTTTTCACTAAATAACTGTTTCAGCTACCACTTCAAAATGATTCAATCCAGATCAAGTGATGAATTCATGACACCATATCAATAATCACGTTAAACATGTGATAGAGTCATTGTTTTCCCTGTTAGGGATCACTCAACTGAAGAAATGCAGTATTTCCTTGGTCTCTTTCAGAGTAATTCTTTCAGAGTAATTTGGTCATTACTTTCTCAATACCTTGGAATCCTGGCTTACTGGAATAAAAGTCTACCAAACATAAGATTCTTCACTGCCAAATCAATAGGCAGTAGTTCACACTTGCACTATGGTGACAATCATTCTCTGAAAGTTGCCAATATATCCGAATCTCCACACAGTGTAAAGGAAAAGTTTTTAAATGCTCCACTGAGGACACAGGCAGAGATGTACATCGAGCTTGAAAGTTTACCATGTTAAAAATATTCTTCTCCAAATTCAATGTTTAAGAATTGAGATAGCTGTTTCTCAAACAAGCTAATCATTCCTAGGTCAATAACTCAATGTGATGAGTGGAAACGTGAATTGACCCTTCCTTGTCAAACCTCACTTGTAGCATTATAGTAACTCCAGCTTCTTGTGTTGAACCAGATGTCTGATTTTGTTTAATACATGTAGTTGGCACCTGTACTGGTCAAGGTCTCTGGTATGGATTTGAACTAGAAGCTGCCTTAATATTGGTTTTAATTGCACTTGGAGCTTTTCCCGCACTCACTGAAACAAACAATATAGCAATGGTTATCTCTCTAAACTGTTTGTATTTTTTAGGTCCCTGGATCAAAAGATCAGGGGCATATTGTTTTTGTGCTGTCTGTTTGTCTACTGTCAACTTTAATCTTGCTCATAACTACTGCTTCGCAAGAAGTAGGGCTTTCATATTTGGCATGTGTGTTTCTTGTGAACAAGACTTTTCTGGTGGTAACAAACCTTTTGACCATTTGAACTTGACTGTGACCTACATTTGAACAATTTTAACATTGGCCATAACAAATGCATCATTTGCCTTAACTATTATGCAATGAAGACTTAAGTGTTTAAAGTGTGCATGTGATTAGCATATACCTAGCACTTCAGAATTTTGTTGCAATTGGGGGCAAAGTGTTTCATAAAAACATCTTTTTTAATTCCAATTTCTCTTCTTCAAAAAAAAAAAAAGAACAGAATGATATAAAACTGTTTGCAAATTAAACTTTTAACATAACTTAAACAGGCAGCAATGAATAGTATCTGTTGTACAAATACTGCTATGACTCTTGTTGATTTACCTTGAGCTTTTGGTTGCTGTGTTTGCTGTTGTATACTGGGTTGTGATTGGCTAGAATCTCGTCGTAATGACTTTAGGCCCTTTCCAAACATAGTTACTGCTATGAGGGCATTGGTATCTGACATAGAAGAGGTCTGAGCCAAGCTAGACTTCTGGTCTGTAAATCAAAGGAAAATTTTAAGTACATGTATATTTATATTTTTTTTTCAATTTCCAACCTGTTTTACCACTTCAACTATATTACATGCAAAATGTTTTAATTGCTTTCCTGTATGATACCCTACAGTAAGTAAGTAACGTAAACAAAATTAAATCATCAAGGCTACAAGGAGTAGACTCATCCAATATGATTGCTGTTTTGTTTATGAGTTGATACACATGGTAGGTAGGTTGACAGTAATTATGAGACAGACTTAACTCTCTCCAGACAGTCAAAGAGTTGATTCAGATTAGCAGACTTACTGGCATCACTCTCCATGTCATCTCGATGGGAGTTAATGATGTCCAAGATATTGCTTGTCACTTTGTTCATAGCATTTAGTTGTTTCTACAATTACAAAACATCATATATTAATATGGTCAATATTCTCGGAGCAGTCAAATGGTAAAAAGTTTTTTAAAGAATTTAATAATACCAGGCACTTAATGGTCAAAACATCAATGACTTCTGCACTTAGGTAAAGAAGACAACTGTTTTTACATGTTGACATGTAAGATAACATTGCCCACATCATCCTTAATCCCTTCTTAGCTTGGCATCATCCTGTAATCTGTGAACATTCACTGTGTAAATGTATCAGCAGTGAATTAAGATTTGACTTATGGTTATGATGATGGTAATGAATATTTATTTGAGCTACAATTGAATAAGTGTGTTTATATTTACCTAAGTGATTTAGGACCGTTATCTCTTCAGATCAACAACATTAGATTTATTAATGGTGATACCTTTAATATCACTTACTTGTGCTATATCAGGTGTGTTGTTGGTGGCTTTGGATGTTGATTCCTGAATCTTTTTTTCTACATCAGGTTCCGGCTTTGTTCTCAAGTAGTCAGGTACAACTTCATGATTAAATGCAAATACTCTTCTCTCGGTAAGTTTCTGAAATAATTTCAAAATTATTAAATGGTTTTAATCTAGCCTAGTTGTTTAGGAGATTCACAAGTTAGAGGGATGTTTATTTCATAACACAAGTTCACAAGAATTTATTAGGTTTAAAAAAAGAATTATACAAAGGGTATTCCATAAGAGCCGGTCGCCGGCCAATTTGACCGGCTACTTTGATCATTTGGCAGCCTATACCAATCCAGTTCCGTAATAATGTTCCGTACACGACTACATGTACACGGCAGGCCAGCCTCCTACTTTCACTACACAGCCTACTACAAACAAAATTATGGAAAACCATGATACCATTCATATTTATATGATATATGGAGTCTACAAAATAAATCTTGGAATTTTTCCTCAGCCTCTGGCTTGTTCAGATGAAAAGTTCATGATTAGTTTTAAGAAGTAGAAATAAGATTAAAGTACTATTTATCATATTTTCAATACTTTGGAAAACATTCATGAAAACAGCTTTTTATCCCACCAATACAAAACCTAAATTGGCGATATGCTCACTCTTTATCTCGATCCCTTTATTTAGTGACATCCGATGCATATCATACCTTGAAGTTATGATATGCCATTTTTATCACGCAAAGAAGCCTTGGGGACCAAAATGATGCTTGACTCAAAGTACCACAGTACAGTGTTTATCATTGGATAACCGTTGTCAGTGTCCTGTATGGCAAAAACCCTCTCTCATTTTCAAATTCCTGTATCCGCGCTTCACTTCGATGACTATTAAGTACACATGTACTCTAAAGTATACCTACTTACTGGTTATGTTTCTTTGATATACAATGAATAGCTTATTATGTGAACAATATTAATTGGTCATAATCTGACCAAGTTCACCTTGGATCTAAAACTAGGAAATCACACAAACTCATGTTTTACACCTGGGTTACTCTATATGTTGAAGCATATGAGTGAGTGATACTTGAACTGGAAATCACATATGCACAGATAGCATGTGTACTTCAACTTCTTGATGGAAAGATATTTAACCAGTACATTTGTTACACTGTTGTATTAAAGTTAATTTTGTGGTTAGTTTTCTGGAAGTATATTGTGCATGTGAAGGAAACTGATTGACAGCTTTATCAGTTTCACTGTGTTGTTTATTGCTTTTTATGATCAAACAGCATGTGAACCTATAGGGGTACATGCAGTAGGATACATTTGCCATCCTACACCAAAGGCTAGTTAGCAGGTTAGTCTGAATTCGTTATTTCCACAACTCAGGTATATATGGTGGATATCACATAAGTACAAGCTATAAAGCTGGAAAAAACATATTGTGATACCACTGCATGCTTTACTAGTGGACTGACCTCCAGCTCTTGGTCTCTTTCAGGAGAGAGAGCCAAGGGTAACAGGATCTGGTTTCTCAACACTGGCACCTTTTCACTCTTCAGGAGCTTTCCAAGCGAGTTCAGCTGTCCTGACAACAGGGCAAAATTATCCAGCACTGAAGGCCTGCAAAACAAAAACAGAAAAACATCTCCATCAAGCAATGTGACCTTCAAATATAGAACAGTGTGAGAATTATAATCAATTTACTACTTTCACTTTGTCATAAATAAACTTTCCTATGAAAATTGTAAATCATCATTGCAAACATTCTATTCTACATAATAATTGTTGATGTTGGTACTTTAATGAGAAATAGACAATAATTTTACTACATGCTAATACAAAGTGTGGCTGTCAACATTAAACATGAACAGTGATTAACATATTTAATGTATTTAAATAGCATATCAAGTATTTTATTAAATACAGTTCAGCTTGACATTTAAAACATTAACCGACTATCTATTTTAGCATTTACCTATTCTGGTAAACACTTTAGTTCCTTTAAATGCAAGGTATGTTTAAAATCAATAATTAAAGGTTTAAGAAACATTGATGATCAATTATGAATGGATGAGAACCAGTTAATATGATTTCTCAACATTATGTATGATTAACTTTTATCAGCATTCTACTGAGTTCAAGCATACCAGGTAAGGAAATTAAACATGTTTCCATGTGTGATTTTCTTACCAGCTCATTGTTTGGTACTCATTTTCCAACTTCGAAAGAAAAGCAGTCAAGGAGTTTTTCAAGTCCTGAACTCTTTGTATAAGTGCATCGAGTGCAAATTCCAATTGTTTTTCTTCCTTCTGCAATACACAACACATATCCAATCAGTGATTTGTAACTACAACTATTTCATTTGTATCTGATTTTCTAATTTAGAGGTATTTCTCTCAAAATGTCAATACTCCATACTTGTAAACTGTAATATATATATCCCTGTATATTACTGTCCATTTTTTTACCATGTGTTGAATTTACACTTAAAATATTAACATATATTCCTAATTCAACATAAAACTTTTGACATCTTATAGTTCTGCTCCATCAGCAAAACGGCAAATGGGTGGAAATTAAAGTGGTAAAAATTTTCTTGAATACAGTAAAGAAGCAAAATCAATCAAAAAACACCTCAACATTTAAATTTCATTCAGTACAAATGACTGACAACTGACATGCTGCATGCGCTTGAGCAAACTCTTCTTTGACGAGAAAAGCTTCCAAGTAAATTGATCTAAAGTTGCCTCCCTTCCCATATGTGTTGGGTTCAAAAGATAGCCCATACAGTCTTCCTCAAACTGGAAACAGTATTCCTTTGGACGTCGGAATCATATCCTTGATCAAAATGATCAGGAAAATGTGCTCCAAGTTTTGTCACTAACAAAAATATTTTACAGAATGGCTAAAATCCTTGCTGAAATTATTCAAAAGTTATGACAGTACATACTATGGTATAGCATTGTCTGTTAATCGTAAATCTTTATTTGTCTGAAGTTCTTCTCGCTTACTTCTCTCTCTCACTCTCTCTCTTTCCCCCATAATGGCAGTTTCAAGCAACAAACTTTGGAAGTTTCTGTCTTTTGTCTTTTTCATAATCTTCATCTTCTGAAGAAATCTCTGCTTTCAATTTTCAACTTACTTCTTTTAAACTTTATAGACTTTATAACTATAACATGACATTGGGTTTTCCTGAATGGCAGTTCAGTACAAAAATTTCCAGAGGAGGTATTACCATTGCTTTTTTCAGCCCTTTAATTATAATCTTATAAGGAGATGGCCTCCCTCAGATTTTAATCAGTTATGTAAAACATAGTAGGCTAAATAACCATTACATAAAATAGTGTTTATCTTAACAGCATTGTAATTTTACAATTTTTTGAAGAGTAATAGTCCTTGTTTTTTGCTGATATACATAATCTCTCATTTTTTAAAAACAAAATGTCATTGAAACTTAAAAGACATACATGTAACTTTTTGAAATTGTGTTTTCCTAAACTGCATTATCAATAGAATTTAACAATTTTTGAAAAATTTACTACCCTTATTCATCATTTTAATAAGTTTTTATCTTACTTTGTCACTTGTTTTGGAAGAGTTATCGCCCTTTGGTTGTTTGGCTTTCATTGAAATTGTGCTTTTTTAGTGGCATATTTTTAGACAATTATTGTACCACATTTTTCATGTTTGTAGTTATTTAGTTATTGTTGTGCCATATCTACTTTATCTGATTTTTTCAGGAATGTATAAGGTTTGATGTCCCTGATTTTAATTGTAAGAATTTAGTACCAAATGTCATTCCATCTCCTTTGACTAGTAGTCTCGGATTAACAAGTACCTGGAGGTTACTTTATCCCATGACCTGTCCTGGGACCTCCATGTTAGTAGCATTCGTGCCAAGGCACACACAACTTCAGAATGCTTGTGCCACATGTCTTGATGCACCAGGGAGGTCAAAGCCATCCATTTACTCTGCCCTGTTTAGACCACAACTTGTCAGGGCTGTCCAGATATGCCTATGACTTTCACTCAAAAACTCCAAGTCTTGTCTCAGTAATGGTTGACTCACTCAAGTGGGACTCCTTGCAGAGGCGTCGGAGGAAGGCAAAGTTTGTAATGCAACTTTTAAAAGTTCACTCAAGATGTTATCACTATACCAGGCAACTCGTAATTTTAACCTAGTTCCACCAACTTCAGGACTCATGGGAACCATTGCTTTTTCAAGCTCTCTTATATGCCAAGGACATTCAAAGCTTCCGCCACCCCTCCAATTTCTCAGGAGCATGAATCCAGATACAGCACACTGCCAAACACATCCTCTCCTTATCTGTCCTACTATCATAGGCTTTGTACTTACGCATATCATGTTGCCTCAAGTCTCTCTTTGCATTAAATCTAATAAGTCCTCTATTGTGTGATTGTTTCATTCATTTAGCACAGTCACCAATGATGCGAGACACAGAATACCTCCCAGCTCCCAACCTACCCGATCCCCTATATAACATAATTCATTTACTTTAAACATTTACCTTTGTTTATCTTAACAATTATAACTATATGGGTTTTTTTCGCACACGTACCAACAAAGTCCAGAGATTGTAATCGCTCCAATCTTGGAGATTAAGCAGAGGAAGAATTGAACACGCATAACCTAATGACGGTCGTCTAATGACTTTTTATGCTTGTCCTTTAACATAGACTGAATTAATATTTAAATAGAATTTAAGAATGTAAACCTTAGCGTTTCATTTGCTTTGTTTGGATACGTATAATATAGTCCGATATATGTGGACAGTGTTGGTTTTTATTACTTCTGAGAGGCCACGGGACAATGTTTGAATTACCAGACACTGAAGTTTCAGATCCCAGTCTTATGAGTCATGAACTACCATGATTGAACGAGCTTATATTTTGTATCTAATCTATCGCTTCTTGTCCTAATATCAGGGACAAATATCATTACCGATATATTGATTGTCAACAAAAAATATTACCTGCATCTTTGAGCCCGGAAACACTAAACCGGAAGAAGAAATCTCATGAGTATGCGCAGACTACAATAAAAAATAGGTCAAACCAGCGAATAAGCGCCATATTTACTTCCTCAAGACATTTATTCCCAAACAACAAACTTGGTAAGTTGAATTTCTCTTTGCCATTTCGCAGAATAGTTTCTGTATGTTCATTAATGTCTTTCGTTTGTTTGTGGCAGACGTTTTGGTCTTTCCCGCACTGAGGTGATCCACTGCTGTTCTTTGTTCTCATTGGTGGGTAGGTCAGCAGTGATCTGTTGATTGGGTGTAGATTCCTGACCAATTTATTGGTCCGATGTCTCAAGAACACATCGTTTCATTCGTCAGCTGGTCTTGAATGAAAACTATTTTACAAATCACACAAGCCTAACTAAAAATAGCGTAACACTCTTCTTGATTAAGCGAAATTATGTGTAGATGAAGCATTGGTTTAAAACGTTAGGGATGTTTCAAATGCTATGCCAATTGCACAACATATAACATTAGATTAGCTATCCTTTCAATATACATGTATATGTAACTCAGATTGAATGATGTTCCACTTAACAAAGACGGATATTGAAATGAAAAAACTTCACACAAACATATTTCCTGTTTTTTTTTATGATGGATTCTATAACATAATTGTCTAGACCAATTCACTCTAGACTGTTATAGCTATATAATTTCCTGGAATCAAAAAATCTATGTGTTTGCCAAGAGGGTGGCAAATTTCAACAGGAAGCAAATCATGTAATGTACTTAAACTAATTATAATACATATGATATTTCTGCTTCTAGAAAATTTAAATTTAATTTTTCACCAACTCAGTTGATATTCAAAATAAATTGAACAAGAAATGTAAAATAAAAAAAAAGATAGTTTGAACAGTTTTGCATTTTGTACCCATCACACAAAGTTACACCATGGCATGGAATTTGCTATGAAATTGTTCTAGTATGTAAATGTATTAAAAAAAGATTTGATAATCATTGGAGGAATGAGGAACTTTTCAGTAACTATAAAGCCAAACTTGATATCTGGTGACTCGAGTACCTTCAGTCATAATAATGCATGGACAATATACTGTGCATCAGACTGAACATTTCAACCTGATCTAGAAAACATCAACAAGAGCCATGAATCAGAAATAAGCTTATCTGTATTTTAACTCATCACCTTTTCTCTCTTTCTCCCAAGTCACAAATGTAGTTGCCATTTTGATTTTTCTGTTTGTATAGTGAAAGCTTTTTCTTCTTATATTTTAGAGAAATGTCTGTTGAGCCCACATTTCAGACCCCAGCAAGTCAGTCACCAGGTGCTGGGGCACTGGCTGTAAGTGGAGAAGCAGCACAGATGCTAACACAGTTCTGGCCCAAAGCCATGCAAGACATCCGTAATCTAAAAATGGTGAGCATCCTGCAGACCCACAGAATCTTGAATAATTACTCAGTTTCATATATAAGTGGATATTTTTACTCAGAATATCTTTCTTTTCTGAGTTATGACAATACTGTAATAATTATTCCATCAACACCCCACCACTATATACTTTTTGTACACTTTGTATGTAAGTATAGTTATAATCATCAGTTTATTGAAAAAATCATAATAATGAGAATGTGTTTAATTTAATTTTCATTGACAATTTGATACACTCAATAATGAATGTATCTGATTTCAAGATAATTTTATTTCATCTTTTGTTCTATTGTAATGTCTTGATATAAAATCTGGTTGAGTCATAAAAGGAAAAACACATACCAGAAATGAACGAGACTTCAACTTAAACTTATAAGCTTGTCATGATAAACGTCTTTGAATTAATATCATTCTTACCACTTTCCTTCAGGATGATTTCAAACAGCAAGAACTTCCTCTTGCTAGAATAAAGAAGATAATGAAACTAGATGAGGATGTTAAGGTAAGCCACACCTGTTGTAGGGATCTTGGTGTCCAGCCACCTGTCTGCAGCTGTGTATATGTTCATCTGCTTTTCCTGACTTTTTTTTACAATGTTAACATTTGCTACACGGAAATTTGTTTCGATTCTATTTTTAAATCATCCTTCAGGATACACATGTATGGCCGACATCTTTTGTTTCAAAGCAGAACTAGATTTATATATTGTATTATTTATACCCTTCTAAGTTTTGATAAGGTATCTTAATCATAATAATTTGTAGGATTCTTTTACTAGACTCAATCGGATTTTGAGAAATGCCCTTTGGTCATTATTCAAAAGAGAGATATGGTAAAAGTATATGCCACACATGATGATTACATAAATAAGATACATGTCCCTATATAACAATGTTGAGGTTTGATTAATATTTCTTTTTTCATGATTGCATGAATTGAAAATAAGTTTAGTAAAATATACTAATTACAATTGTCTGGGTGAAAATTTTCTCATGCCTTCAGTATATATTCTTGATGGGAATTTGTGTATATTCAGAGTACACAAATGGCTTTGGTAATACTACCCTTAGTAAAATTTGTCTGAAGTAATCCCTGATGGGGCATTGCAATGACAGCTTTTAGGTAGTTTGGACAATATTATGAGATTATCTCCCCTATACCATAGATGCTTTTGCTGCTTGTTCACAGATGATCAGTGCAGAAGCCCCTGTACTTTTTGCAAAGGCAGCAGAAATATTTATCAGTGAATTGTCACTACGAGCCTGGATACACACAGAGGACAACAAAAGAAGAACACTTCAGGTGACTTATTCTAATCTGTTTTCATAGTGATCACAATAGCAATTGTCAAAAATGTGTAGCTAGCACTATATCGTTTGCTCTTTTCCGTTTTGGAAGTAATTGGAATTACAACATTGCTATGCCTTCGTTTGTAGATATGTTATAAAATATGAAAAGCATTCACTTTATTGATTGTTTAATTGTTAGAATGCTCAGTATTGCTGGCGGAAGTTATTGCACCTTAGTTGACAATCAATTTCAGCAAGTCTGACAACATTCTGTAGATAAAGCATTATTTGTTATTGATACAAGTATGTACCTTTTATGACCTGTTTAACCTTTTGTTATCTATTTTTTACAGAGGAATGACATTGCCATGGCGATAACCAAATTTGACCAGTTTGATTTCTTGATAGATATTGTACCAAGGGATGAATTAAAACCAACCAAACGTCCGGTAAAATATCAGTTTTTGGTGACAAGTAATCTTGAAACAGATTGATGGTAAATTATCAGTTTTTGGTGACAAGTAATCTTGAAACAGGTTGATGGTAAATTATCCGTTTATGTTGACAAGTAAATATATTCCCTTGAACTGGATTGATAGTACTGTATAACTGTACAATGTTGTTTTAAACATTTAACATTTTGATGACCGCTTTTTGAATTTATCATAATAAGTCACTCATTACAGTGCCTTGAAGATAAGAACATGTTAAACCAGCCAACTTATACTGGAATTTAAGCATTAAAGGAACATTTATTTATACCAACAGGAAGAAAGTGGAAGGTCATCGTCAGGGCTTCCAGATCAGATCCAGTATTATTTACAGTTGGCACAACAACAGGCACAACAACAGGCCCAACAGCAGCAGCAACAACAACAGCAGCAGCAACAACAACAACAAACACAACAACAACAACAACAACAAGCCCAGCAACAACAACAGCAACAGCAGGCAGCAACACAAGTCCAGACAACTGCTGTTGTCCAACAACAACCTCAGGTCACACAGATCCAACTTCCTGGTAATTAAATATGCATTATATAGCTGGGGCTGTATAACAATGCACCATTCTCTCAGTCTGTCTGTTCCTACTTAACAGTTGATGGTGTTTTATTGTCACATTTAGAAGTTGTGTTTAGTTCAATTTTCTCATAAAGACTAAATTCATCAGCAACCAAAATTCAAAGTATAGCTAGTCAATATATTCATCAAACTTGCCAACCAAAATATAAACAGAGAGTAAAGGTTTTTTTTGATAATTGGATACGTTTTGGTGCTTTCAAATTTAATGTTTAGTCAGTTTAAAGAATTTGAAATAAAATTTGAGATACCTTACCTTTGATGTGTGAAACTCTAAATTGAATAGATGAGATTTTATCTGAATTTTTATGAGGTTTTTGAAACATGCTAGGTAGTCAAGAGATGAAATGAGAATGGGATGACTTATAATAATGAGACCATATTTGATCTCCTTCTTTGACAGGAAATCAGATTCTACAACAACAGTTCCAAGTGCAGGCAGGTCAGATACAGACAGGACAAGTTCAGGCACAGACTGCAATACAGGGAAGCACAATACAAGGGGCTACGGTAGTTGCTAGCACTGTAAGTATTGTCTAATGTAAGACACAGACTGCATTACAGGGGAGCACAATACTAGAGGCTACAGAAGTCGCTAGTACATTAAGTATTGTCTAATTAATACATATACATAGTGAGGACATATAATTAATGTGAATTACTATGTGATACCTACATTGTAGGTATAATTGTGTACTACAGTGTAAACATGACATATATTACAGCCCCAGCCACAGGTAATACAGATTCAGGCCCCACCCCAGGTCCAGCAGGTTCAGCAGGTCCAGGTGCCGACATCATCTGCTGCCACTCCAGTCCCACAGACACTTCAACAAGTCCAGATTCAGCAACCACAACAGCAGACACAGGTGTATCAGCAAGTGATCACCACCTCAGGGGAGGTTCAGAACATACCTGTACGTATAAAACAACTAACACTGTGTGTAACATGGATTGTGTATTGTGTTAAACATTCTGGTCTGTTGTGCAGTAACAAGTAACAATAACAAAAATAAGAAATTAAGTTAATGTAAATGTTTGCTTTTTCTCTTAAAATTAGTATTTGTAAAGCTTCTTCTCCATAATGAATGTCCGTAAACCAACAATACTTGTGCCAACAAACAGAAAACTCAGCATTTTGTATGTATAATAAATATGCTGCAGAATTTTAGGACAGTATAAGAAGTATATAGGTTTATGTGTAATGTGGAATTTCGTTCTATGTAAAGTCACAGGGAAGTATTTATTTCGCTTTCAGCTACATATTGTTTTTCATCCATTACAGATTCAGCTGACCCCCCAGCAACTGCAGGCCATACAAATGCAGCTCCAGGGTAAACAATCCAACCAACCCATCATTATCCAGCAGGCAGCCCAGCCAGCCATTCAGAATGTGCAGACAATCTCACAAACAGACCAACCACAGTTCAATTCACAAGTAAGTTTATATACGTATTTCAGTAGTCTACCATTATATATATAGTTTAGGACCAATCAAATGATAGGCTGGGATAAACAATAATGAAGGGCCCATATTGTCATACTTTAACAGGGGAGGTAACTCTGCTGTTAAAGTAGCACCAGTGCTTAGTGATGAAAAATAAGAGAAAGTGAGATATTTATCACCTAAGAAGACTGCATGATGGAAAGTTTAAATATGGGGATATTTAAACTTTTCACAATGCAATTTTTTTTTATGCAGAATAAGTAGACAACAATATAATTGTTCCAGTTGATTTTATGTATAAATTTACATAAGATTGGAAGTACTGTATAACATCAGTTCCAATTAGGTAGGTAAATCAACAAATCTGTTAATTCGGTGTTTGTGATATGAAGCTGAATGTGTTTGATTCGTGTTGGTTCCGTTTTTGTATACCTTGTACTCGTTTGAGAACATGACATTACTTGCTTGGATTAACCAAGATTAACATGGCGGGTGTCGTTGATGAAGCAGATGTTACACATACTATTCAGGAAACATCTGGTGTTATTCTCCTTGAGGAGTCTCTGTGTAGATCTTTCTTTTGTTCATATTTTGCCCTGGTTTTGTTGAATTTGAGTTTGGATTATATTTATGTTGACATGCTGCTATTTTCTTGTTTTTTGTAGCAACAAGTATACCAGATCCAGCAGTTAGCAGGAGGACAACAGCAGGTTTATATACACCAGGCAGCAGGTGCTGATGGTGACCATGGTGATGCCTCTCAAGATGCAGCATAACACAGACAGATTATGAACAGAAAGAGTCAGATTGTCAACGTTTGACATGTTCAGCTGTGCCAATACTTATGTTTGGAAATCTGGTATATGTGACAAAGGAGATCTGATCTCTTATCTTGGTTATGGTCGCCTGGGAAGTATCCATGGTTACCAGACAGGAAAACACACAACGCCTAGTGATACAGCATGGCACATCAGTTTGTACACAGAAATATCCAGTTGTGGTAAAGATGTTGCCATGAGAAAGGTATTGGAAACATTAAGCTGGTATGCTTTTCAGGTTACAAAATCCTGAAAGTGCAAGGTAATCTCATTTACAAATGAAAATTTTCTTACATGGAAAACTGTCCTTAATGCTAAAAAGATCTGACACCTCCATGTTGTTTATAGAACATGACATGTTTGTACATGGTGAACTTAATTGTTGTTTGAGTTGTTGAAAGTATCCTTACCCATACAATGTAGTGAAAGTATGTGGTAGTTAGTCTTAAAAAAGAGATTGTGACTTGATTTATGATCAGAATTTGTTTTCTGAGAGTTTCCTTCAATAGCATAATGTAAATATAATGAGTAAGAAATCTAAAACAAGTGGTCAATTAGATTTAGTAAAAATTGTAGGAGCTGAGCATTTGAGTGCTGTAGATACTTATCAGCTACATTATTGAACTAATGGATATATTTGATGGTAAAATGTTGCCTGGTTCAATGCTGCAGAATTCGGTCCAGCAGACTGACCACTTATTATCCACATACCCTACAGGATCAGTGTCAGAAGTATCAGTCCAGCAGACTGACCGCTTATAATCCACATACTCTGCAGGTTCAATGCCTCAAGAGTTCGGTCCAGCAGACTGACCACTTATTATCCACATAACCTACAGGATCAGTGTCAGAAGTATCAGTCCAGCAGATTGACTGCATATAATCCACATACTCTGCAGGTTCAATGCCTCAAGAGTTCGGTTCAGCAGACTGACCACTTATTATCCACATACACTATGGGTTCATTGTCAGAGGTAACAGTCCAGCAGTGACCACTTATCCACTTACACTACAGGATCAATGCCTCAGTGTTCATTCTGCTGTTTGAGACTTCACATGTTCAATGCTAGAGGCTTCATTGTATTGGGTAAAATAACTTAAATACATGTCATATTACCAGATTTAATCCCGTTAGTTGGTTGTATAAAAACAGAATGTGTGCTTGAAGTTAAATGGAGACTTAATTTGGAGTAGGATACCAGAGTGTGGACTACCAGGAAAAAACTTGTCTTGTGTCGTCCAATCAGTGACCAGAACAGTGGGCATCTAGGTGATAAGGGAATTTCCACATTTTCCACTGTGCAACTGAAATTACAGCATCTTGGTGTTAACACTAAACTTTCTTTTCACTCTGATAATTTCGGTTATTTTCCCATAATAACTAACTGTAACCACTTCCATTTACACAGTTGGTGTTCTAATGAAAAACATCATTGTGGCTTTTTTAGGTAAGTGTTTTCTTCACATTTACAGAATATCCCTTCAGTTAATGTAAAGTTGTTTCAATGAATGAATGGAAGAAATTTGTACATACTGACATATGATATACATACTTGATTTATGACAAAATCCTGATGTGAAATCAAATATGTAAAAATAATTAAAATAATTAATTTGATCTGGTGTCACTCCACCAATTCAGTACTGTTTGTGTGATCTGGTGACACTCCACCAATTCAGTACTGTTTGTGTGATCTGGTGTCACTCCACCAATTCAGTACTGTTTGTGTGATCTGGTGTCACTCCACCAATTCAGTACTGTTTGTGTGATCTGGTGTCACTCCACCAATTTAGTACTGTTTGTGTGATCTGGTGTCACTCCACCAATTCAGTACTGTTTGTGTGATCTGGTGTCACTCCACCAATTCAGTACTGTTTGTGTGATCTGGTGTCACTCCACCAATTCAGTACTGTTTGTGTGATCTGGTGACACTCCGTCAATTCAGTACTGTTTGTGTGATCTGGTGTCACTTCGTTAATTCAGTACTGTTTGTGTGATCTGGTGACACTCCATCAATTCAGTACTGTTTGTGTGATCTGGTGTCACTCCACCAATTCAGTTCTGTTTGTGTGATCTGGTGACACTCTGTCAATTCAGTACTGTTTGTGTGATCTGGTGACACTCCATCAATTCAGTACTCTTTGTGTGATCTGGTGTCACTCCACCAATTCAGTACTGTTTGTGTGATCTGGTGACACTCCACCAATTCAGTACTGTTTGTGTGATCTGGTGACACTCCGTCAATTCAGTACTGTTTGTGTGATCTGGTGACACTGCATCAATTCAGTACTGTTTGTGTGATCTGGTGACACTCCACCAATTCAGTACTGTTTGTGTGATCTGGTGACACTCCATCAATTCAGTACTGTTTGTGTAAATTTGATTATGGAGTTATTTATTCATAACAACTCTTCGCTGTTACAAGACAATGGTTTTATATACATTTCTTTTATCTTTAATCAATATTTATATCTATCTGACATTTATACCCTGAGAAAACATTTGTTACAAACAATGAAATCTATTAGTTCAAACTACCATGTTGATTCTGTCACTTAAAAAGGTTGTACCACAAGGTCATGTGAACAATGGCATCTATATGCAGATCAATGCAACTTCTTTCTGTCTAGAAGATTTATGTAAAGGTATAACAATAAAAAGACTTGTTTATATCTTCATACACAGTTTCTCAAATGTATCCGGAATTGATTTAGTTCATCTGACCAACACATTCAGGCTTTTCAAAGTATTTCATCTGTACAGTTCTTGTTTAAGGAATGGAGCATGGTGATGTAAATGTAAAATTTCTAAGATGATTGAGACATAACACAGTCAAAAGACACACTGTCGACATGGTCATGGGTACTGTATATGTGACACAAGCATAGATTTTCCGTTATAGATAAGAGGCCATTTCACCATACTAAGATATACAGCCCGTAGAATATCAAGAACATGATTTAGAAAAATGTGTTAGATTTCCCGTTTTGGAAGTTATTATCTTTGATACTATAATGCATATATATTGGGACTGTGGGTTGTAAATTCCTGACAAGTCCCTTTGCTATGAGTTTTTCATTGCTAGTGTATTTACAATTCACCAGGAAATTATATACATGTACTAGTGTATAACTACACGCCACTGGTGTCCCACTACTAAACTTCATGTGGGCAGAGGTTAACACAGCGAGATATGCCAGCACCATATCATTTGATAATAAGGCTGATGACCAGCAGTTTCTAATGTTACTAGTTACATGTATAAGGCTTAGTGTATATTTTCATGGTTAATACACAATACTACTACAGAATGTTGTATTTCAGAAGTTATTTACATTCAGAACATCAAATTCACACAGAATTCAGTTTTGGTGTCATTTTACAATAGGGTGAACGAATACTACATATATTACAATGCTTTCATTCTCCTTGATATATCTTTTTTCTGGCCACTGTTATATTTGTGGGTTTTTTTTTTTTTTTTTTTGCATTATGTTTTTTATCTGCCGAAGTCTTTATGTAATACATGTACATTATGAAATGATACATGACTACCTATTGTTCCCCAGTGTGTCAGGTATCACTTAGAGTGTGACATATTCACAGGACCATCTGCTGCATAACATCATATGTTATCATACGAGGAATGTTATGTAAGCTCGCCTACGTAGATACATTATTAACTATCCATTTTGTAAACAGACTGATGATGTCTGATAATGATATTTGGTCTGATGCTTGTATCAATGGAGGCGTTTGGTCAAATCAAAGATTTAAAGTACAGGAATTTTAGGTTAAAATGATTTTTAATTGCTGGTATCAAAACTACAATGCTTGTCAGCGAGTGTCATGTTTCCAAATGGTAAATCTAGTTTTGTTGGGTTGGATGGCTGCCTATATCCAAAACTAACTCACTGGAAATGATAAAGGAACGCCTGTAAGTTTATATTTTCTCATGTGTCATTGAAAGTACCAATCATTTCGTGGTCACATATTTATTTAATACATTACCACTGAAAAAACTGCTGCGTAAATACATTGATATTTTGCAGGTAAAGATATTATGTAAGGGCATACAAGCATGTCATAAACACTCCATTGTTAAAACATACTGGTGCATAGTTTTGTGTATTAGGAACACTCTCTCATGAAACACACAAATGTGATAAACAAATTTATATGGTGTTTCATAGATTCTTGAAAGTCATTAAACTGTGTGAAACACATTCTGTTTTCATTGTTTACTTGTCCTATTTGTTTTGTCATTATTTAAGAAAAATAAACATGTACGATTTTTAAGCTGGATGGTTATTGAGTTATTTTTTGTGGGGTTGATATAACCCACCAGTATTTCACATCCTATGGGAATTCCTGTGTAGTGACCTGACAAATTTGTATTTTTGCAGGAAGATAAAGAAAATCTGGGATGGGATAGAGGGGGCGGAATTAAGATATTAAGATGCAGTTTTGTCTTTCAAGGACAATAAGGACATCTTTCTCAGTACAGAAAAAAAATTCAACTTGAGAATCACAAAGTTCTGAGCTTGAATGTACCAATTATGGAACAATAACACCGCACATTCACTTAGACTCTAAACTGACTGGCAATAGAATATGAAGTGTTTTTTAGAGGGCAGTGGAAGTGTTGAAGATAGGGTGTAATTGAAAGGGTCTGAAGTAGTGAAAATTTGGGAAGAATTAAAAAAAAAAGTTTCTTCAGAGAGATTGGATGGAAGCAAAACAAATATAAAGAGTTTTTCTTTTTGAGTGGGTGTAGAAGCATTTTAAAGATTTTATGGAGAGAGGGGAGTGGAAATTATGATGCCTCTATGGTTGACTGTTTTGTACACGTCAAGTATTATAGTGTATTGGTGTCTTTAGGATAAAGTGTTTTTCCTTTTTTTTCGCTTTTATGGATATCAGATTTCAGGACAGATTTTAATTTGAAGGGGAAAACATGACTTTCAATGGAATGAAAGAGACTTAAAGACTGGATAGATTTTGAGACATTTTTCTTTGAAGGGACAGTTGAAAACCTATGTTTAAAATCTGTAAATTCAATCTTCAATATCAGATAATGAAAAGATATTGTAATGTTATCGGTTTTGGTCCCTTGCATTTATTGCATCACCATTGACATAAAAAAAGAAATATATTTCAAAAAATGTGATGTCATAGTAAATAAGATTACCAATACATCCTTCTATTTGTTGGGAGATGCAACAAAACAAGTTATGTAGTTCGAGGGTACAAGAATGGAGTATGAATATTTTAAATACATAATGAATCTAGAGATATCATTTTATCTTCAGATAGCTTTTAATGTAGAAAGCTCATAGATCATTGCATTATTAAATATGAAGATGAAGATTTTGTTAAAGACTGGAGTACTATGGCAGATATAACAGTACTTCACAAATTCATTCTCTGACTCTATGGGCCATCACAATTATTGCCTTACCACCTGATCAGAGTTCAATGAAGGGAATAAACCCTGGAAGATCAGAATGGACATTCCTCAGATAGTGGCAATTATCACATTCCAAATTTAGTGGAGATGATCACAGTCCAGAGTAAATGGAGATGATCATGGACGAGAGTCAGAGGAGATGCTCGGAGTCTAGATTCAATGGAGATGATCTCAATCCAAATTTAGTGCAGATGATCGATCACAGTCCATAGTCAATGGTGATGATCAGTCCAGAGTCGGTGGAGATGATCACAGTCCAGAGTAAATGGAGATGCTCAGATTCTAGATTCAATGGAGATGATCTCAATCCAAATTTAGTGGAGATGATCGATCACAGTCAATAGTCAATGGTGATGTTCAGTCCAGAGTTGGTCACATTCCAGAGTCAGTTGTAATGATCATAGTCTTGAGTCTGTGATGATGATCAGTCTAGAGTCAGTGGATATGATCACATTCCAGAGATAGTGCTGATGATCACAGTCCTTAGCCATAGTAATGATCACAGTCCAGAGTCAATGGTCCAGAGATTGTGGAGATGATCACGTTAAAAAGTCAGTAGAGGTCATCACATTCCAGAGTCAATGGATATGATCATAGTCAAGAATCAGTGGTAATAATCACGGCATCGAGTTAGTAAAGTTTATCACATTCCAGAGTCAAAAGTAATGATCACGGTATAGATTCAATAGAAATGATCGCAGTCTAGATTCAATAGTAATGATCGCAGTCTAGAGTCAATAGTAGTGATCGCAGTCTAGAGTCAATAGTAGTGATCACAGTCTAGAGTCAATAGTAGTGATCGCAGTCTAGAGTCAATAGTAGTGATCAGAGTCTAGAGTCAATAGTAGTGATCGCAGTCTAGATTCAATAGTAATGATCGCAGTCTAGGGTCAATAGTAGTGATCACAGTCTAGAGTCAATAGTAGTGATCACAGTCTAGAGTCAATAGTAGTGATCAGTCTAGAGTCAATAGTAGTGATCGCAGTCTAGAGTCAATAGTAATGATCACAGTCTAGAGTCAATAGTAGTGATCGCAGTCTAGAGTCAATAGTAGTGATCACAGTCTAGAGTCAATAGTAGTGATCAGTCTAGAGTCAATAGTAGTGATCGCATGTCTAGAGTCAATAGTAATGATCACAGTCTAGAGTCAATAGTAATGATCACAGTCCAGAGTCAATAGTAATGATCGCAGTCTAGTCAATAGTAATGATCACAGTCTAGAGTCAATAGTAATGATCGCAGTCTAGAGTCAGTGGAGATGATTGAAGTCCAGAGTCTAAATGACACACATATAATGTCATATTTTCTATAGTAAATAGGTATATGATATGCAATATACATGTATTCCTCTGGACCTACGATAGGATGATTTCCTATCAGTGCAAAGCATGCGTATGTAAATATAACACAAAGAATGCAGTAGATTAAGACATAACAAGCCTTTTTATTTATACAATATAATGAAAAGAATCGCTGCCATACATATCTATATCTGCTTCTTATACGATCACTCATCTTTCACCAAACTTTTGCACTAAATCACTCAAAAATTATAGCATCAACAGCTTCTTTCATATCTTATATACATAAAAAGAATACAACAAAAAAAATCAGCAAAATAACATGACTAGGATAGGCTGTTGGTGAGTTACTCTGCATTACATTCTACAGATAGAGTGATGGTGAATCACACAGCAGCCTCTAACACATGGCCTCAACCCAAATGCAGCCCAAAAATCATGACCATCTTGCTCAACTTTTCAGTAACTATAATTTATAATAAGAACCAACTTTTTAGTATCGGATCAGTTTCTTCATTAGTTATGATAAAAATGCCCAAAACATGTATTACACATATACATGAAATAAGAGGTAGTCTACTTGAGCAAACATGCCATGTTTTAGAGGATGCCAGCAGATTACAAAAACTCCCTCCAGGCACACACTAGGAATACCTGAACAAGTAAAGATGAGGCCAAGGTGTTCCGAATACAAGCCACACTCTGGCCCTGCTCCAGTACCCAAGGCACATCACATGTAAGCAGTGAGATATAGACATATCACAGAGAACCAGTGAAAAATAGTCCTGGCAGTTACACATTTGTCTAAAGAGGCCTTCAGCTACTGTATTTATGGAGTCCTATCTCACTGATCAGCTGATTACCTAGCTGGTTGTCCTATATAAACCTCCATAACCCGAAGTTCTCATCACCGGCCTTGAGCTCATGATTAAGAAACACTTATGTATGTATCATTACAACCAATTCATGACTCCTTTGTCAGTATTCAGATGAATACTTGCGTCAAAATGACATTAATTTTGCCTAAGGTTAACATTGTTAGATTTTCAGAAAATGTGAAGAAAATTTGTTATTTTTCATGAACACCGAGTTGATATAAATCATAAGACGAGATACAAATGTAAATTGTACCGTCGGATTAGTCCACAACATCATCACTTCAGCATGTGTCAAATTACACTTTTACTAACAAAATATATCAACAGCTTACACTATTAGGCATACAAGTCTTGTTTCCTGGCAATAATATTTTCTTTAGCTGACACAAACTACAGTGCTTGTGGTTATGAAAATCTATACATTGTATTACAGGTTACATTGCTGGATTATCGTCCGAGAACTAATAGAAATAACTGCTTTATGATTTTTACCAAGGCCTTTACGCTACATGTATATGGTATATTCTTGTATCCTGGAAATCACTTCTCTACATAACAATGTTAGCTAAAGATATAATAGCTATTTGCAAACTACATTGCATTTTCCTCTAGATTTCAAGTTTACAGCCTTTAGAAATCAAGGTCTAAATTACAAATCATTTTCTACTATATATTCACTCATGTGTTGACTGGCAAAACATATGACAATGAAACAATATCAACATAAGTATTGATCTATTGATATTTATACATAAAAACAATGATCACCCTAATGTTCTTGACAAGTAACAAGATCTGTATAAAATGAATATAAATTTATACCTTTTCAAAATCAATTCATATATTAATGAAATAAAATGCATTGTGCAAGAATCCTATACATCGAGGGACCCCACCCCCAAAAAATGCCCGCTTAATTTTGTATACATTAGTTTGAATTCAAATGTTTACATTAAAAACTATACTATATTATTCAATAAGACTAGAACAATTTTGTATCTACTTAGTTTCAATAATTTAATAATTAAAATAAGTCTCTATTTCGGCAATCCTTAACATGTACATTAAATACAGGGTGTGTCACAATATCATAACAAGGTAATTCAGTGGGCAGTCAGTTAATTGATCATATTGCAAACTGGTAACTCCTCCTCTTTCCTCCAGATCTATTATTATAAACACAATATCGGTCAAGTTGAATTTCAGGTTTTAAACCCACACATTGTTTTCCTAAATGTGACTCACCTCTTGGGCTCTGGAAACTACAATCAAAGCTTTTAAATACACAACTATTATAATACTGAAAAGCTAATAACCTATATTGAATGAGATAATCGTTTGAAATGAGGATACATTGTCATTTTCAGCACTCCTTAACAAAACCAGTAACATCGTAGGAAATACTGTATATGATATGTTATGCTCTAGTTGTGATTTCATGCATGACTGACTATGGCTCCGACATTCCTATACATAGAGTTTGGTTTAAGAGTGTTATGAGTGCATGATTATTGTATCAATAAATAAATCACACATAAAAGAGCACTGTCCGACATCTTGAAGAGTATTAGTAATCATTCAGCGCCACATAAAAAATGAGCACTTGAATGAAGTCACACACGCTGTAAGTAACTTGGGCCTTGTCTGTACAGGTGTACCAAGTAATCACACAACTGCTATTAGAGTTTCACATCACTGCCATACACTTATCACCTCGGCAGGCAGTCGGATAAAATTTCCTTAGCTGTAGATGATATGTGGTTAGGAAATGTCACATCAAATTGAACTATCAGGTCCCCGCGCTTATTGGGTTGTTTGGGTAGAGGTAGTCCTTCACCCTGTATACGCTTAACACTGTTTGGTTTCACTACATCCGTTAATCTGAGAGGTATTTTCCGTCCATCAATTGTTGGTACTTGAACTGTTGTTCCACACAGAGACTGTAATAAAGAAAACAGCATTTGTTAATAACATATTTCATAATTATGGCAATGTAAAAGTATCCATAATTTAAACATGTAAACACAGAATAAAACATTTTTTAGTATACCTGTACAAAGAAAAATAAGTCAAGAGTGCAATATAATTTGGCTACATGTTTAGTGTTAGACTGCATTCTTAGAAACTTAAAAGAAATACTATTTTGCAGTAATATCTACTTAAACAGATCTTTGGTTACTTTACAGAATTTACAAAGAATTCACTACAGTAAGTTCTACAACCCATTACAATTAAGTTTATCTTCAGTTTGTTGAAATGAAAATCTGACTTTTATATGAGGTAATGTAACTGTTTCGCATAAGTAACATGATTTGTACTTACATCTCGTAGTGGTATTTTGGCTTTGTATGTTATATCACTTCCATCCCTAGCAAACTGTGGGTGGGGTTTGTCCTTTATCACAAACACAACATCAGCAGGAACACTATTTGGAGACTGGTCACCTTCCTTTGGGAATGTGATCTTCGTACCAGCTTTCCAACCGGGTTTTACATCAATTGTTAATATTTTGTCCTCTATTCTTGTTGTTTTACCGTCCGGATTTAAAACTCGTCTTGTTATTTTCAATTTTTTAGTGGTTCCTCTGTGGATATCCTCTAATGTAACATGTAGATCCTTGACAACAGCTGGGTCCTGACGTTTCCTTCCTCGTACGTTCGGTCCCATATGGTGTCCATGCATCCCGTGACCGCCGAAACCAAACGGATCTTCATCAATGTCCATATCCTCCTGACCTGGATGTCCAAACTGGTACTGACGGGACCCACCCATACCCGGGCCAAAACCGGCCCCCGGGTGGAAAAAGTTGTCAAATGGATTGTCAGTGCCGAAAAACATCCGGAACGTTTCGCGAGGGTTTCCCTGGAAAGAGTAACTATATGTGCCCGGACCAGCAGGACCCCCACCCCCTGAGGGGCCACCATTCCTCAGACCTTCCTCTCCATACTTATCATATATTTCCTTTTTCTTCTTGTCACTAAGTACGTCATATGCCTCAGCAATCTCCTTGAATTTCTCCTCCGCTCCAGGTGACTTGTTTTTATCAGGGTGATATTTCAGTGCCATCTTCCTGTATCCCTTTTTAATTTCATCGTCGGACGCGCCTTTGGCTACACCAAGAACTTTGTAATAGTCCTTCCCCATGTTGTTATGTCTAGTTTTCAGCACGTACTATGTGCACAAACCTGCAACGTTTCTAACTGACCTACTGGTGTCTGACGTTTCCCATATATATAGTAACTTCCGTTCTCGGTGTTTCCCGAACTTTCTCGGTGCGTCTAGAAAGTTTGCGTCACTTCCTGTCACTGTTCTTAAAGTAGAAACGGGGAACCTGATCTAAGCGGTGTGTTGTTTAGCATAAAAAACGTAATTAAAAACAAATGTTTTACTCGTTACAGCTCGATTTAAAAATAAATTGTTCAGTGAGGGACGTGATATATGTGCACTCTCCTACTAAACAAATTTTTTAAGTTGCGTAAAAGCTCGGGGAACAGGTATGACGACTTTCGACACTAGAATAACATCCTCTTTTTTGTACAGCAACACCATTGTATTTGTATTCTTATTCAGGAGAAAAAAAGCAACACAAGTAAAATTCTCAGTATTCTCCATCACTTTTCATAACACCCCTTTTAAGATTGTACAAAAGACACAAAATTGAAAAGCACCTTCAGAGTTAGATACAGTAGAGCCAAACAATGAATTAAACTGCATCACACAGCTGTTTCCAAGTTCTAGGTCTCGCCAGTGATGCTGAAGGGCCTAAATATTGAAGCCTAGGAAGCGACTGGAGAAATTTCAAAATAAGCGAAAGAAAGGTAAAAAAATCTAGGCGGGGAGGTGTCCTAGGCTAGCCTTTTAATTCCAAAAAAAAAAAAAAAAAAAACGTAATTTTCATACCTTTGATAATTAAGAACAGCATCAAGTACACGTGTATTGAACCGTGCAAGTATTCAAGTACTTTGCATTTTAGATAGATGGCAAGATATTGATATCCATCAGTGAATATTGACATTAGTAGTAGGCTACACCGTGCTGTTTCTCAGCTCTCATCACTTTTAAGTTCACTGACCCTATGTCGAGAATCTGTTAATTTGAAACTGACTGAAGTAACGTCTATCACATGCAACTAGAAAGTTGTAAGCAAGAAATTGTTATAATCTTCCAATGGAAAATACTTTGGGCAAGTTAAAAACAGTGATATTCAGGTTTCACGCAAGGACAAAATTTGGCATATTTTCTCCTTCCCTTTCCATATCAGAAAAAGAGAGCTGATGAAGAACCTTGTAATAACACATTTCATACTATTTGACATGTTTGTATACAAAATATTAAATAAGTAATATGCAATGACAGTTTGCTATCTGTAATATCTTTTTCATTTAATTTTCTAGGAGTGAAATTTTGCTTGCCGACAACTATCGTTATTTTGAAGTTAAAAACATCTTCATCTTATCGGTCCAATGGGTCAAAGCCAGGATTTAGAATTTTGATCGAATAGAGTTTGAACAGTGATAAAACCACTATATGATATGCTTACATAGTCACGACTTAGGTATATTGAAGTCCGCGGTATAATCAGGATTTTTTTAAAGTCTTAAGTAATAATGATAAATTTATTTTCATGCAAATATGATAGCTGGTACCTTCCACACTCAGATCTAACCACCACATTGGAAAGGTTGCCTTCTGATACATAATAAGCATTTTAGGAATTTATGTCGTAAAAAATAAAAACTTAACTATCCAATTTGAGAAATTAAAATTATTGTCTACAAGCCATAACTCACTATCACAAGTGAAAATAGGTTTGATTAAAGTGGCAAAGGTTTGTCCTCATTTTCAGAGTCTTATATGGTGCAGATCTTAACCTGCATGTTTAAAGTTTCCTTTGAAATAAACTATCACTACCAAATTCCTTTAATCTTCTATATGTAATTGACAGTGTTACCACACTTGAATCTGTATCTGGGATCATCTCCGTTAATAATCTCAAATATCCCTTGATCAAATATCATAAGCTTTGTTTTATTTCAATTTCCAAGTCCTGCAATAAATGCCGGTCGATTAATGAAAAGCATTACTTTCTGATAGCAAATCGTCAGAGAAGAGCAGTTGGTTAACATATACACACACACATATATATAGATAGTTCTAGCGATAAATGTCTACAGCAAAGATGATTTTACAATTCTCAAAATCATGTATTTTTTTCTCTTTCAGATTATATACTATGTAGATCTTTGAAGTAATTAATGCTGAAACGTATGAATGTTTAACATTTTGACAGATGGTTGGTCTCTAGGGTAAACTTCGCCGACATATTTAATGAATCGATTATTTGTGACTATATAGACGACAATACAAATGTGTCATATTACGACAAATTGTACTAGTCTGTCAAGGCAAGAGCAGACTTGTTCCTGGTCAAGATCAAACCTCAGGCACAAATACTAAGGGACTAATCTGTCACTCACAACTTCAGATCACACGAGATATGGTGCCGCTATTACATTTAGTAATAATAATATCAATCAATTAAAATACAACAAAACTATTTATATTTAATATATAATAAGTTCTCAAAAACTATATATTGTCCAGCCGAAAGTCACTTCGTTATAATGATTAATAAAGACACACAAGCCGGTGTAAAAACAACATGTAAAAAAACTTCAATCTTTTACCTGTCGCGGCCTTTTAGATGTATAGACTGATACCTAACTAAATACACTGTACCAGGTTCTCTGTCACATTTTCATATGATTATCTCACGAGCCCGATTTCAATTTTTCCTCATAAAAAAGACACCGCTTTATCTTGATATATATCGATATATCATTATAAGCACAATTGTATATATACGGGATTCTTTTTTATTAAATTCGCATTGTCTAGATTTAGATATAGCGTTAATGCTTAACATTCGTGTTTGTAGTCTTCAATGTGTAAAAGACATTCACACTTCGTTCTATGTATTTCGTTGTCTAAAACAAAAGGAACACAACTGAGCTTTAATGAAATAAGCGACCAGTCCCTAATTTGAGCAACAGTAACCCACCTAGCCGGAAAAACTTTTCCCCCAAAGTTTGATTTTTTTATCTTTATGATATATTCGAGTCATTCAACGGATGTCTTAACTACTGCAGCCTCATTGTCTTGAAAATCTGTCTCTTGGAATTTATTCAATTGTCTGACACCAATCTTTAACATTTATATCTAAAAATGGACAAGATACTTCACCCTATTTAAGTTAGATATGGTGCGGCGGGTCTTCCGTTTGTGATTCAAAGATTTTACCACATGAGGTTGCTACTGCATGGAGACCCCGTCTCAAAATGATCCTGGCCGTTGCCGTGGCGATAACCTGACAAACAAACAAACAAACAAACAAACAAACAAACCTAAATATGATATTGACGTCTCCGTTATGATCAAAGTCGTTGTGCCTGTCGCTATAAATGTTTCTTTTTTTTTTCTGCGACATTTGGTCAAACGACAATTAAGCATAATTATTAACATTCTGGGAGACATAAAGGGATCTTTCGGAGTTTCTCAAATGTCTTTTGCTGCAGATGCGTCGAGGTTTCTTCCCATGGTTTTCTTCACCAATATTTACCAAGAATATTTATAGCTTCACAGTCTGTTGTTGTGATTCTGAGTAACAATACAATGAAGACCAAACCAATTCAGGCCAGTATTTTGCAGACCAATATTTTGCGGTCCAGTATTTTCAGGTCAGTATTTTGCGGTCCAGTATTTTCAGGTCAGTATTTTGCGGTCCAGTATTTTCAGGCCAGTATTTTGCGGTCCAGTATTTTCAGGTCAGTATTTTGCGGTCCAGAATTTTGCAGGCCAGTATTTTGCGGTCCAGTATTGTCAGGCCAGTATTTTGAGGTCCATTATTTTGCAGGCCAGTATTTTGCGGTCCAGAATTTTGCAGGCCAGTATTTTGCGGGCCAGTATTGTCAGGCCAGTATTTTGCGGTCCAGTATTTTCAGGTCAGTATTTTGCGGTCCAGAACAAACGGTCGATTTCAGAAGCTCAGTATTATCATTTCTGTATGATAGAGAGTGAGACATTCAAGTAATGTATGTTGATGGCATCCCTGCCCGCAGTCTTACAAACTTGGCACCATTGATCAGTGAAAGGCGGCACTTGAAAACGGCCCTATGGTTGCTCTGATCAATGGTTAAGATCTTGATGGTTGTCTTGTCAAGCAGGAAGATCGGTTTATTGCCCAGTCACAGCACGATTTGGAATAATAACAAAGTTGTACCTGCCAGTGAATTACTCCTCTCCTCCTCCCTTTCCACCCGCCCAAACAAACATACATCTTTTCATATGTATAGTACCATCTTGTGAAGATGTACCCCCTGAAACAATCGATGATATATTTAGGACAGCAGGCAATATAAGGTCTTAAATTTGATTCTCTGTACATTTTGTAACGTTAAGAATATTCAGAAATCCTAGAATGACCTTCAATGCCGTCAGGAAATGGCAACTAACATATGGCTATGCAAGGGGGATGGGGGAGGGGGTTATTTTCCCCCATTATCGTTGTATCTTAAACAGCCAGAAGAAATATCTATTGTTTCTACAACCTTCTAGAATCGAAACATACATGTACCTTAAAAGTTGTTCTGAAGTAACCGAAACAAAATTTAACACATCCCGGTAATATTGGTGAATAAATAACACACAAGATCACCAAGTGTAGAAATAGTAAATTTACTAAGAAGGACCTACACACATGTTGTATTCCGAAATAAAAGTTAGACGGAAGAGGAAACGATAGGGAACATCGCGTACGTTATTTCCTCGACTGCTAGCTAGGGCGTGGGTGGCGATAAATAATTGCTGACGTCACCGCAAAGAACGTGATTGTATAATGATAGTTTTAGTAACGTGCGTAATACGTTGCTCCAGTTTTTGCAATGAATTATGATTGTTGTGGAACGTACAGTTCTCGAGAAGTACATCCGTCTGTGGTATGCTGGTAACAAAGAGCTGATGCAAGCGTTAGAGGAAATGCACATATTTTCGGCAAGACTCCTTGTACGTTAAGAGATGATTCACGTGATGGCCTGATTATTTCTGATGTATACTATACATGCGTGGTTTCTTGTGGAATGCATAACAAAATAAAGCCTGGATTTGTGCCATATCTATTGTTGCGCGGGGGAGATGTGGACAGGC